AGAGAATTTTTCTTTTTTAAAAAAAATTATTATTATTTTTTGAAGCAGAGTCTCACTCTCTTGCTCAGGCTGGAGTGCAGTGGTGTGATCTTGGCTCACTGCAACCTCTGCCTCCTGGGTTCAAGCGATTCTCCTGCCTCAGCCTCCCAAGTAGCTGGGATTGCAGGCGCATGCCACCATGCTCAGCTAATTTTCATATTTTTAGTAGAGACAGGGTTTTACCATGTTGGCCAGGTGGTCTTGAACTCAGTTTATCCACCCACCTCAGCCTCCCAAAAGTGCTGAGATTATAGGCCTGAGCCACTGCACCTGGCCCAAGTGAGAGAATTTCTGGTGGCTTCTATTTTTTTGAGGTTGGAGGCATAGTAATTCACTGAAAGGGCAGAAAGAATGGGGTAGCTGCCTTTCTGGGGTAAAAGTCTGAAATAGGCCAGGTGGGTGCACTGGCTCATACCTATAATCCCAGCACTTTGGGAGGCTGAGACGGGAAGATCATCTGAGCCCAGGAGTTCGAGACCAGCCTGGGCAACATGAGACCTCATCTCTACAAAAAATTTAAAAATTAGCTGGGCTTGGTGGCATGTGCCTGTGGTTCTAGCTACTCAGGAGGCTGTGGCGAGAGGATGGCTTGAGCCCAGCAGGTCAAGGCTGCAGTGGGCCAAGACCCTGCCACTGCACTTCAGTGCAGGGGACAGAGCAAGATCCTGTTTCAAAAATTAAAAGTCTGAACTTCATGCCTGTAATCCCAGCACTTTGGGAGGCCAAGGCAGGTGGATCAGGATGTCAGAAGTTCAAGACCAGTCTGGCCAACATAGTGAAACCCCCTGTCTCTACTGAAAATACAAAAAATTATCCGGGTATGGTGGTGTGTGCCTGTAATACCAGCTACTCTGGAGGTATTACAAGTGCACACCAGCATACCTAGCTAATTTTTTGTATTTTCGGTAGAGGCAGGAGAATTGTGTGAACCTGGGAGGTGGAGGTTGCAGTGAGCCGAGATCATGCCATTACACTCCAGCCCAGGTGACAGAGCAAGACTCCGTCTCAAAAAAAAAAAAAAAAAATTTAATGAGAATAGTGAAACATAACTGAAGTGAGACAGGCAGAAAAATGTTTCAGCTGGGTTAGGAAGATATGCAATTATGGTACATCAATCTTCACAGTGATATGATTTTCTTGGTAGCATTCAACAGTCTGCTATTAGCAGATCAGTGATGGAAACTGTTGTTCAGGAAGAATGTGTACAAGGTTAGTGAAGAACACTGGTGACTCTGTCCCAGTCTGTTACTGCAGATATGGTGTGATATAATCTAAAAATTCAGTAAATCTTACTTATGGTGAGAATTTTCTAGCCTTATACATACTGTATCCCAGGAGATGGCTCAAATGTTTTTTTTTTTTTTTTTTTTTTTTTTGAGATAGAGTTTCGCTCTTGTTACCCAGGCTGGAGTGCAATGGTGTGATCTCGGCTCACTGCAACCTCCGCCTCCTGGGTTCAGGCAATTCTCCTGCCTCAGCCTCCTGAGTAGCTGGGATTACAGGCACGCGCCACCACGCCCAGCTAATTTTTTGTATTTTTAGTAGAGACGGGGTTTCACCATGTTGACCAGGATGGTCTCAATCTCTCGACCTCGTGATCCACCCGCCTCGGCCTCCCAAAGTGCTGGGATTACAGGCTTGAGCCACCGCGCCCGGCCTGGCTCAAATGTTTGAAGTATAGAAGAGGAATGCCAGATGCATCAACAAGGTGAGTGAAGTTAGTAAACCGGTCTTGAAAGCCCTTTCTGATTTCTCTTATGAAATGTAAGAAGTGTCTCAAATTCTTCTATTTTTTACTTTTTTGAGACAGAGTCTGACTCTGCCGTCCTGGCTGGAGTGCAGTAGTGCAATCTGTGCTCACAGCAACCTCCGCCTCCTGGGTTCAAGTGATTCTTCTGCCTCAGCCTCCCTAGTAGCTGGGACTACAGGCGCTCACCACCATTCCCACTAACTTTTGTATTATTAGTAGAGATGGGGTTTCGCCATTTTGGCCAGGCTGGTCTCGAACTCCTGGCCTCAGGTGATCTGCCTGCCTTGGCCTCCCAAAGTGCTGGGATTACAGGCATGAACCACCACGCCTAGCCCTCAAATTCTTTTAGATTATTTTATTTTATTTATTCTACAAATATCTAATTAACAGCTACAATATGCTCAACATTTCTCTAGTCAAATGGACAAAGTATCTGACTTCATTAAGTTTACTCACTGGGGCAAGAGAAACACATACATAATGTGAAGAAGGTCTTTTTTTGTTTGTTTTTTATTTTTTTTGAGACAGAGTTTCGCTCTTGTTACCCAGGTTGGAGTGCAATGGTGCAATCTCGGCTCACCGCAACCTCCGCCTGCTGGGTTCAGGCAATTCTCCTGCCTCAGCCTCCTGAGTAGCTGGGATTACAGGTACGTGCCACCATGCCCAGCTAATTTTTTGTATTTTTAGTAGAGACGGGGTTTCACCATGTTGACCAGGATGGTCTCGATCTCTTGACCTCGTGATCCACCCGCCTCAGCCTCCCAAAGTGCTGGGATTACAGGCTTGAGCCACCGCGCCTGGCTGCTGGCACCTATCTTTCTACCTCTTTTCCCATAACTTCTTTTTGTGTGTCCTAGGATTCTGCCAAATTAATCTGACCATTCACCAGGAAAATATAATCTCAGATTTTCGTTTTCTTTTTTTTTTTTTGAGACAGAGTCTTGCTCTGTCACCAGGCGCCAGGCTGGAGTGTAGTGGTGCGATCTCAGGTCACTGCAACCTCCGCCTCCCGGGGTTCAAGCAATTCTCATGTCTCAGCCTCCTGACTACCTGGGACTACAGGTACATGCCACCATGGCCAGCTAATTTTTGTATTTTTAGTAGAGACGGGGTTTCACCATGTTGGCTAGGATGGTCTCAATCTCTTGACCTTGTGATCCGCCTGCCTCAGCCTCCCACAGTGCTGGGATTACAGGCATGAGCCACTGTGCCCGGCCTATAATCTCAGATTTTCTGAGTCACAGTTTGGACACACTCATTTTAGAAGGGTGGTGGTTGTAGAAGCCACACTGTAAAAGAAGAAATGACTCCTAATCATAGAGTGGTAACAAATATTCTGCTGCTTCTCTTCAAGGCACGATGCAGAGAAGAACACCTCCATTTCTTTGAAGTCAGGCTTGACCAATGAGTTGCTCTGGCCAAAAAAAATGTAGGCAGAAGTGGTGAGTATCACATCCAGGCAGAGGCTGTATAATTTATCTCCCTTTCTTTTTTTCACTGCCAAGGGTCCCACTGTCTGCATCCACTCAAGCTATGAACGTAAAGAGTAGATAAGATAAAAATGCTGTTGTTGAAGCCTCTGTGAAGTTGCTACAGCATAACCCACTCTTCCTTGACTAGTACAACTAGTAAAGAAATGGAAGCAGTGAATATAAGCCACTTTCTGGAGGTTTGTTTTTCCACCTAAAAAATCTTCACATATAATACACGTACATACACATAATGAAATGTGCCAGTTTATGTGTACTGTTCATGAATTTTAATAAATGTATACATCTGTGTAAGCACTACCCTAACAGAACATTCCCTTTCCATCACCTCAAAACATTTCCTGGGGCCTCTTAGCAATCTGTTTCTTTTTTTTTTTTTTTTTTTTTTGAGATGGAATCTTGTTCACCCAGGCTGGAGTGTGCGATCTCAGCTCACTGCAACTTCTGCCTCAATAGCTGGGACTACAGGTACGCACCACCATGCCCAGCTCATTTTTGTATTTTTAGTAGAGAGGGGGTTTCACCATGTTGGCCAGGACGGTCTCGATTTCTTGACCTCATGATCTGCCCACCTACGCCTCCCAAAGTGCTGGGATTACAGGCGTGAGCCACCGGGCCCGGCCGAAACTTTTATTTTCCACTTAGTTGAGAATGTTACAAGACTTTAAGCCCCATAAAACATTCTATTTTGTGCCCACTGTACACACAGTGCCAACGCTGTCTCATGCATAGTGGTTGCTGAGTAAACATTTGTTGACTGAATGGATGTATTCCCCTTGAATTCCTTTTACATGTCTATGTTAGATGACTGGGAACTTTTTTTTTTTTAAGGTATAGGGTCTCACTGTGTCACCCAGACTGGAGTGCAATGGCACCATCATGGCCCACTGCAGCCTCCAACTCTTGGGCTCAAGCGATCCTCTTCTAGAAGCCTCCAGAGCACTTGGACTACAGGCACGCACCACCATGCCCAGCCAATTTTTGTACTTTTTGTAGAGACAGGGGTCTCACTATGTTGCCCAGGCTGGTCTTGAACTCCTGGCTCATATGATCTGCCTGCCTCGGCCTCCCAAAGTGCTAGAATTACAGGGGTGAGTCACTGTGCCCGGCTGGGATGGTTTAATGTAAGAAACTTTATTACCATGAGTTTCTAAAGGAATGTGTGATAAGTGCCCTATTGTGCCTCAGGTCATGGCAGAGGAATGGAGATTGAGACTGGAGGAAGTCCTGTGAAGTACCTATCTGTAAATCATGAAATAGCATCATTTTCCTTGTGTGGTCTTATTGAAATGGTGACCAGAAAAACCCAGAAAATAAAATCCCACTAGCAGTGTGTCCAGTAATCTTTGTTTACCCCCTCCCTATTGTTATGTCAAGACACGGAGCCCAGCTGGGGAATTCTGAATACTAGGTTCTAAAACAGGATTTGTCATAAACGAATTGCTTGATCCTAGACATTCACCTCTAAATTAGACACCTGACCTAACCTCTCGGGAATGTGGTGAAAATCAAACGGGAGGGAAAGTGAGAAAGCACCTGAACAAGGTACTGAGGCGCGTGAGATAGTACTATAACACCATCCATACCAAGATCTGTAAGTTTTCGCCGCGTCCGCCTGGTGGCGGCGGTGCCAGACTGCGCAGGCGCGGCCCCGGGCTCGGCCGCACCCTCTTCTGCCGCTTCCCGCCGCGCCCCCTCGCCCCGGCGCGCGCACGCCGCCCGGCGTCCTCGCTCCCGGTGTGTCGCCCCGCGTGCGCCTGAGTAGCCGAGGACGTCCCCGGCACCGGAAGTGACCCGGGCGGGTTTGTCTTCAAATTCTCGGCGAGCAGAAGCAGCGCCGGCAGGTGGTGACGATTGAACTGGCAGTACTGGGGCGGTGAGCAGAGAGCAAGGTGGGCTGCACTGGGCCCGGCCCTCCTTTCTCGCCGCCGGGACCTCCATTCAGCCAATCTCCTGTGCCTGGCGTTGGGCGGTTTTCCGAGGAGCTTGGGCCGCCGCAGGTGAGACTTCACTCTGATGGTGCCCTGGGAACCCCCGGTTTTCCAGGGCCGGGCCGGTGAGGGACTTGGGGGGCCCGCAGCGAGAACCTGCCGCGCATCCCTCCTTGAGCCTGCCTGTGCCTGAGCTGAGGTCTTAGGTCCTTGCTGCTGTCTCCGACACTTTGGCTCGGGTGACAATCCCCCTACCTGAGGAATCCTGTCCAGCTGGGGACTTTTCGGGTGCTCCTGTCGATCCCATCTTTTGGCCTGTGTCGTTAGCAAGTCACCAGCCGAGAGTTTTTAGTTCGTCGCTGTTTTGACTGGTTCTCTCCCGAATCCGTTCACGCCCCCCTCCCCGAAACCCTCACAGGTGAAAACTCCGGTGTCCATGCCATTGGGAGGCAACTTATCTTCTTAAAACTTGTTAGGTTGAGTGACGTTGTTGGGATATTTCTTTTTTCTAGAGCCCGGCGTCCTCTGGGAGACCTGTGGGGCCTTTTGGTTTAGAATTGGTACATTTTAGATAAGTTTCCCTCGAAACGTTTGTTTCATACAAATGTGATGACAAAGCTAGATGTAGACGTAGACCCTAAAGTGCCTTACAGTGGATAATCTCAAGCTCTTATTTAATCAAAAATATATTCCTGTTGTAACCTCGAAGGGCCACTTTTATATTAGTTACTAACTTCTAACAGCACAATGATGCACCCTTTTGTCTTGAAAACACTTACGTCTTCCTCTTTGAAATCAGACCTTTAGTTACTGCTGAAAACATTCGCGATGTTTTAGAATGGGTGCCTTAGATGACACATTGATAGTCGCCTTAGTAGATGTTAAGACAAGATTCTTGAAATGTTTATACAGGCTTAAATGTCTCTATATAAAGCACTGTTTTCTTTTCCAGAGGAGATGGTTTTTGTTCTTACACCAAGAAATAGGAGCAAAACTCTTTGTTTTGTATTAACATTAACAACTTGGGGCGGCTGCGGTGGCTCACGTCAGTAATCCCAGTACTTTGGGAGGCCAAGGCATCGGATTACGAGGTCAGGAGTTGGAGACCAGCTTGGCCAATATGGTGAAATCCGTCTCTACTAAAAATACAAAAATTAGCCAGGCGTGGTGGTGGGCGCCTGTAGTCCCAGCTCCTAGGGAGGCTGAGGCAGGAGAATCGCTTGAACTTGGGAGGTGGAGGTTGTAGTGAGCCAAGATCACACCACTGCACTCACACTCCAGCCTGGGTGACAGAGGGAGACTCCTTCTCAAACAAACAAAAAACTTGTGGCCTGTAAATACCTTTAAAAAGAAGCTAGGCAGTGCTGATCAACTTTCCAACTAGACTTTGAGAAGCTATATAAAGCTTCTTTATAGCATTGGTTATTCAAGAAGCATTTACATTTTTATAGGTTCAGTACTAGGCATGCTCTGTAGTCTACAAAGGGATTCTTCACCTCATTTGGAAACTGGTGTCGCAATCCTGACAAATATTTAGGATTAGAGAAGCTTGTTGGAATTTATTAACAACGTTGTTGAATTTGTTAACAATAGTTTTTTTTTTTTTAAGCCACTTGACTTTAAAAAAGATAGCATTATCACATAAATATGGTCAATCTTGATAACATGCTAAACAGATTTTGCTTGTGGTGTTTATCAATAGGGCTTGAATATGACTTTTAAATTACATTTTAATTATTATACTCACGAATTTGTTTAGGGTAAACTGAAAGTTTACTGTACAAATAGAGTAGACTTTGTATGTACTTTTTTTCTGAACGGTTTCTTTTTGGTACTTTTAAAAAGTGGTAACTTTCTTTTGCCTAAGTTATGTATCATATGATGATTATAAAAGTGAGAAAAATGTATGCCATGCTGTAATTGGTCATGGGTCATTCATTCATTGTGCTTATTCATAATGATCAGTGGCTGACTGTAAATTAGCATGTGGTTTCCTTCATATCCCAGAGATGAACATTCTGAAAATTGCTTATCAATGTATTACCACTTTTGAAGTCACATACAGTTGCTTTACTAAAATGGCTTCAGGAAGATGTGTGATTGGGTTTCATGATCTTTTTGTTTTAAGAAGTAAATTTTACAGATAAGTGTTTTAAAAACATTTTCAGGCTTCCAACGTTGGTGCTGATTTTTTAGTCTGTGTTTAATAATATTTTATGCTTATCTACTCTTACTAAGCAAAGAAGGAAAAAAAACACCTTGAATAAATAAGGTGATATCCCTTCCATTAAACTTCAAGGATTTCAAGGTCTAATTCTTTCTTAATTTTGTCTTCAGTGCAATTCCTTGCAACTCAGTTGATGTTCCTTAAATATTTGTTAAATGAATGACCTGTGCACGATATGTTTAAAAACTGCAAATAAGTGGAACCCAGCCTGAGTCCTTTAAAAATTAAATGGGTAAGGTATCCTCTCTAGGTGTGAAATAGGCAGGGCCCTGTATTTGCTGTTTAGAGACAGAATAAGAATGTTAGAACTCAGATATTTGGATATTATGCCTGTTTTTTTTCAGTCTCTTTGATCACTTCTTTTTTCTAATCCTAGAGGAGAAAAAAAATAACTTTCTCTGTGGAAACACAACACTACATCACATACTATATTTGCTACAAATTTTGCTGTAAAATTGGGATTTCAGTATTTTTTAAAATTTGATTGTCACTTGAATTAAAATTTCATATTGCATCTTGCTCAGTTTAAATAATTTAGTCATTAGCTAATAAATACTCAAGGCATGTAAGCAAAAGAGTGATTCTGTTAGAATAAGGTAAAGGAAAAACTTGCTGTGAGATAAAGCAAGCATAGTTTATGGTTATTCTCTAATAATCCATGTAACCAAGAGCCTGCATTTTGGGGCAATCTCATTTTTGTAAGTGTTTTATTAATGTTGAACCAATAGATTGTGTTTATAGTTCATAGTGCTTAAAATGGATCAATCAAGGCCGGGCGTGGTGACTCAAGCCTGTAATCCCAGCACTTTGGGAGGCCTGAGGCGGGTGGATCACAAGGTCAAGAGATAGAGACCATCCTAGTCAACATGGTGAAACCCCGTCTCTACTAAAAATACAAAAAATTGGCTGGGCATGGTGGCGCATGCCTGTAATCCCAGCTACTCAGGCGGCTGAGGCAGGAGAATTGCCTGAACCTGGGAGGCGGAGGTTGCGGTGAGCTGAGATCGCGCCATTGCACTCCAGCCTGGGTAACAAGAGCGAAACTCCATCTGAAAATAGATTCATTTTTTCAAATATTGCCAGATACTGTGCTACATAGACCCAGTTTCTAGTCTTCCTACAGTGGAATTTTAGCAATGATAATGATATATTTTTGAAAATTGAGAGAATTTCATAAATTTACAGTTGTGACATTCATTTGAGAAGGATGTTTTAGGCTTAGAGATTAATAAGGGAACGGGGAAAATTATTTTCGACTAACATTTAGTGAACTTAGAGTGCTCTAATACTGTTTTCTGCAAACACATTGTTTCTTTGATAATCAGGGATTTTTCAGGTCATGTGTTAATGTGGCCTTGGATTAGACTTTACATTTATGTTTGTTAGAAAATATCAGTTAATTGGCTTCTAAAGAATTTTATCTGACTAGAAAGAGTTCAAGACGTGGAATCTTTAAGAAGGCTTGGAGTGACTTCTATGAATTTTGGGCCATTGAGTCATGGCCCACAAGAAAAAAATGAGGACCACCTATATATAAGTAATAATTTAAATTTATTTTTTATTTTATTTTATTTATTTTTGAGATGGAGCCATACTGTCTTACCCAGGCTGGAGTGCAGTGGCATGATCACAGCTCACTGAAGCTTTGACCTCCTGGGCTCAGGTGATCCTCCCACCTCAGCCTCCTGGTAGCTAGTACTACAGGCGCTCCCCATCATGCCCAGCTAATTTTTTGTAGAGACAGGGTTTCACTATGTTGACCAGGCTGGTCTTGAACTTCTGGGCTCAAGCAATCCTCCCACCTCAACCCCACAAAGTACTAGGATTACAGGAGTGAACCACCATGCCTGACTATTTTAGATTTTTTTAATTGGGAAAATGGGAAGAAAGATCTCCAGGGAGACTATTAAGGAAAAGAGGGAGAGAGGGAAAAGACACGAAAGGCTTGACATCCAAGCCCATCTAGAACAACTGTATACTTTTAGTAGCAGGCCCCAATTATACTTTTCTAATACTCTTGCCCAGACTAGGTGTCTCTATAGGGCATGGATGGCTTCAGGGCAGAAGTAATCATACAAGAATCAAGCTGTAATCCCAGCTTAGAAGGGATGAGCTGAGGATCAAGGAATGTGAACATGCTGAGGGTCAGGAACTGGACAAGGTAAGAACTCTTGGTAGTTACAACAGAAACCTGGTCAGGCACAGTGGCTCGCGCCTGTAATCCTAGCACTTTGGGAGGCTAAGGTGGGTTGATCACTTGAGCCCAGGAGTTCAAGACCAGCCTGGGCTACATGGTGAAATCCCTGTCTCTATAAAACATACCAAAAATAAAAATAAGAAAAATTAGCTTGGCATGGTAGCGCACATCTGTGGTCCCAGCTACTCAGGATCAGTTGAGCCCAGAAGATCAAGGCTGCAGTGAGCTGTGATGGTGCCAGCCTGGGCTAGCGTAAGACCCTGTCTCAAAAATAAATAAATAAACAAATAAATAAAAAGAACAATAACTAGGCAGCATTCAGTCAAAGATTTATTGAGATCTACTATTTGAGAACCTGGTTCTAGGTGCTAGAGATATATCACTAAATAACAGTGAGGTATGGCCCTTGGCCATTAGGCTTTTGTTAAGACATAATATGATCAGTGGTCATGAATCCAGGGAGACACTATTTAGGTCATAGGATTTTATTCCTTTTCTTTTGGAGCTCAGATGCCCAGTGTTGAGTTACTCATAGACCTTATTCATAGCTATATTGGTTCATAACAGATTATCCCAAAACTTGGTGACTTAAAACAACAAACGTTTATTATCTCTCTCACTGTTTCACTGGGTCGGGAATTTGGGCATGACTTAGCTGGAGGCCTCAGATTCAGGATGTTTTTCAGAGCTGTAATCAGGTATCATCCAGGGTTGTAGTCATATCAAGGCTCTAGTGAGGAAGGATTCACTTCTGATCTCACTCACATGGTTGTTGGCAGGATTTGGCTCCTCAGGGGCTATTGGACTGAGGGCCTCAATTCTTCACTGGTTGTTGGCCTGGAGCTTCCCTCAGCTCTTTGCCATGTGGGCTTCTGCCCAGGCACCTCACTGCATGGAGCTGGTATTCCATATGAGTGGGGTGAGCAAGAGACAGCAAGCAAGATGGAAGTCATAGTCTAATCTCGTAAATGATCTTACGTTATTTGTTACAAGCACACATTCAAGGGCTAGTAATTATATGAGTACAGATACCAAGAGGCAAAGGTCACTGAGTGCCATCTTGGAGGCTCTCAATGATTATCTGTGGATATAAGGCCCTTTTGTTGTATTTATTTTTTACTTCTCCCCTATCCTTCATAAGCAGTTTCTCCACTCACATTTTCCTCCTCACTTTCCATAGACTTTCTAATATATTTAAGGTACTTTCTTGGATATGTATGCATCCTTTAAAAATCAGTCTTTTATATAGCATATATATTTTTAATTTATAAAATGACATTGGGATTTAGATCTTTTTCTATGTCTGAGACCTTTTTTTCACCCAGCCCTGTATTTTGATGATCTATCCATGTTGCTGTATGTAAATTTTATTCATTGCTTCTGCCTGCTACATGGTACTCTGTGATCTGCCACATTTCCCCTAGCTGAGAAAAAAATAAATTGGCTGTACTTGATTTCTCAAACATTTCTGTCATTAACATCCAAAACCAAGTTCCTTTACAGATCTGTGTGAGACTTTCTCTGGAAGATTTACACAAGAGTGGGATTGCTGGGTCATGGGGTGTATATATACATATATTTACATATATATGTTTGTGTATATATACATATATATATATGCATATATAATTTCCCCAAGTACTGCCAAATTGCACTCCCAAGTGACTATGCCAGTTTATGCCTGCAAATTGATGTAAAGGTTTCTTTTTTCCCTAGCCCTTGCCAGTACTTAGTTTATTGGACTTTTATTTTGAGTCTGGTTAAAAAAAAAGAGGTCTCTCATGGCTTCAGTTTGTATTTATTGGTTACTCCTGTTTGTGCTCGTTAGCCATTTGAATTTCCTTTCTGTAAACTGTCCTTTATGCTCTTTCCTTATTTTCTTGTGAGGTATTTTGGTCCATTAATGTGAGGAATTACAGTGATAGGATCTTCTGATCTTAAGTCATCCGTGCATTTCTGGGATAAACCCTTCTTGATCATGGGGTGTGAGTGTGTGTGTCAATGCATTGTAGGTCAGCTAATATTAGGATTTCCATGTTCATAAGTGAAATGGCTCTTGTGTTCTTATTCAGTGCACAATTGAGATGATTTCAGCCTCATAAAAAGAATTGCTCAGCTTTTCTCTTGTTTTCTGGATCAGCTTTTATGTGGTTAGAATTATATCTGTTTAGAAGTTTTTTTTTTTTTGTTTTGTTTTTTAAATCCCGAAAAACAAAAGAAACTTGCTTAATAGAAGTCATCTGGACCTGGAGCTTTTTTGTTTGTTTGTTTTAAATGTTTTCTTGAGACACAGTCTCACTCTGTCTCTGTTGCCCAGGCTGGAGTATAGTGGCACTATCTTGCCTCACTGCAGCTTTGACCTCCCCAGGCTCAGGTGATGCTCTCACCTCAGCCTCCTGAGTAGCTGGAACTACAGGTGCACACCACCATGCTCTGCTAATTTTTGTATTCATTGTAGAGACGGGGTTTTGCTGTGTTGCCCAGGCCGGTCTTGAACTCCTAAGCTTAAGCAGTCCTCCTGCCTCAGTGTCCCAAAGTGCTGGGATTACAGGCGTGAGCCACCGTGCCTGGCTGAGACCACGCTTAAGAGCTGTTGTGTTGACATCTCTTTTTTCATCAGCTCCTCACTCTTCCCAAGTCTCTGTTTGCCTTGAAATACTCTGCTGTATCTTATCTGGTATTGAGCTGGCACTGCTGTTTTTCCTTCTGATGGTGGGTTAGGGCTAGAGTGAGCAAAGACTGGCCAGTGCAATGAAAGTCAGAAAGGATGTAGCTAGAATACTAGTTATGAAATACACTTATCTAGATACCCTACTGACACACAAAAGAAGTTAAAAAAATCTTGTTTTCTTTTTACTTATATGTCCACTCAGCTTTGCTGTCGTCTTTCATGATTTCTTCACCTTTTTAGTCCTCTAGGCTTGAAACTTCGTTCCTTTTCAACATTTTCTCCACACAGTGAATTCCTAAGTAATCTCAGCAGTTCTTTCACCACAGTGTTTCTGATTTGTTTCTTTTTATTCCTGTAGCCGCATTCCTAATCCAAATTATTGCCCTCTCAAAAGCACATAAATCTTTCCAGCCTTGAACTTCACCATGTGATTTATAGTTAGAAAATAATAGTAGCATTGTGAACATTAACAAAGCTGACATTTATCAAACGTCTGCTTTAATGCTTTATAACCACATCTATATATCTATATCCTACTAAGTGCAAAGGTTGGATTAGGTTGTCATATGTAGAAGGTTTCATGGCAGATAGATTTAACATTTATTAAAGACCTGCTTTTTGTCAAGTAGTATGCTTAGTACTTTTTTTTTTTTTTTTTTTTTTTTTTTTTTTTTGAGACGGAGTTTCGCTCTTGTTACCCAGGCTGGAGTGCAATGGCGCGATCTCGGCTCACCGCAACCTCCGCCTCCTGGGCTCAGGCGATTCTCCTGCCTCAGCCTCCTAAGTAGCTGGGATTACAGGCATGCACCACCACGCCCAGCTAGTTTTTTGTATTTTTTTTTTAGTAGAGACGGGGTTTCACCATGTTGACCAGGATGGTCTTGATCTTTCGACCTCGTGATCCACCCGCCTCGGCCTCCCAAAGTGCTGGGATTACAGGCTTGAGCCACCGCGCCCGGCCGCTTAGTACTTTAAGTAGTCATTTAGTCTTTATAATTCCTGAAAATAGATGCTATGCTACGTCTATAAAAATAGGCTTAGAAAAAAGTTAGGGCATTTGACTAAGGTGACAGAATTAGAATTCTAGCCAAAATTTTTTCTAACTTCAAAACAATCCATACTGCTTCAAAAATGTATCTAATATTCACTATTTATTCTGCAGATGTTTAATAAGATATATGTCATGCAAGGATCATATAGTCTCACACCTTTCCGGTGCAAATCCTGCAGTCAGATAACAATCTACTAGAGATTTGACATATATATAAACTATAATTTGAAGTAGCTAAGTGCCTTGGGATGAAAGGCACAGTAAAGTGTCAGGAAACTTTAGAGGAAGGAGACATTATTTTGAACTGAGGTTCAGTGGTTAGACATACTAGAAAAACTACCCTCTGAGCTGGGCTTTGACACATAGGAAGAGTTTTAATGTGGGAACTTTAAAAAAAAATGTTTTATTTATTTATTTATTTATTTATTTTTAAACAGAATCTAGCTCTGTCTCCCAGGCTGGAGTGCAGTGGTGCCATCTCTGCCCACTGCAAACTCTGCTACCCTGCTTCAAACGATTCTTGTGCTTCAGCCTCTCGAGTAGCTGGGACTACAGGTGCGCGCCACCATGCCAAGCTAATTTTTGTATATTTAGTAGAGACAGGGTTTTGCCGTATTGGCCAGGCTGGTCTTGACCTCCTGGCCTCAAGTGATCTGCCTGCCTTGGCCTCTTAAAATATTTCTCAGGCACGTTGTTTCATTCCTGTAATCCCAGCACTTTGAGAGACCAAGGCAGGCGGATTACATGAGGTCAGGAGTTGGAAGACCAGCCTGGCTAACATGGTAAAACCCTGTATCTACAAAAATACAAAAAAAATTAGCTGGGTGTGGTGGCGGGTGCCTGTAATCCCAGCTACTCTGGAGGCTAAGGTGGAAGAATCACTTGAACCTGGGAGGCAGAAGTTAAAGTGAGCTGAGATTGCACCATTGCACTCCAGCCTGTATGACAGAGCGAGACTCTGTCTCAAAAAAAAAAGTCTTTGAAGGAGTGGAAATAGCATGAACACACATACAGAGATGGGAAATGTGGTATGTGTGATTGTGAATTTCTTGAGGGAGGCTTGGAAAGTATTTTTTAATAACTGGGGTACTTATTTTTAAGAGACATGTACATTTAAAATGTTTCTTTTTTTTCTTCTTTTTTTAGCTTACAACTGAACATGAGTCTTCTTATGATTAGTGAGAATGTCAAATTGGCTCGTGAATATGCATTGCTGGGAAACTATGACTCTGCAATGGTCTATTATCAGGGAGTTCTTGACCAAATGAACAAGTATCTGTACTCAGTCAAAGATACATACCTCCAGCAGAAATGGCAACAGGTGAGAATAATGGCTGCTGTATATTTTAATGGCTTAAGTATTCAGAAGAGAAAATTTAGATCAAATGTCAGTGCTATATATAGTTACATGTTAAGAATGTATGGCTACTGAGCACAGTACATAGTGACTCACTCCTGTAATCATAGCACTTTGAGAAGTCAAAGCAGAAGGATCACTTGAGGCTAGGAGTTCAGGTACAACCTGGACAACATAGCAAAACTTCATTTCTACAAAAATAAAAAAATTAGCCAGATGTGGTGGTACATGCCTATAGTCCTAGCTACTGGGGAGACTGAGGTGGGAGAATCACTTGAGCGTGGGAGGTTGAGGCTTCAGTGAGCTATGCTTTTACCACTACACTTCAGCTTGAGCAACAGAGCTAGACCTTGTCTCCAAAATAAAAAACAAAACATGAATATGTGATTTATTACACAGTTTTGCATATAATACTTGAAAGTGAATTTATTGTATTAATAATAATCCACTTTCACCATCAGCAATATTATGAGTTCTACTTAATTCTAATTGCTGGAATCCAATAAGCATTCTTTAAAATAATGGTTTTGACATTTTTTTCTTTATTAGATTTTTACCTGGTAAAAATAGAGTAGACTTTATTAAGCCATTGTCAAAACCGTAAATGGCAGCCGGGCGCGGTGGCTCAAGCCTGTAATCCCAGCACTTTGGGAGGCTGAGGCGGGTGGATCATGAGGTCAGGAGATTGAGACCATCCTGGTCAACACGGTGAAACCCCGTCTCTACTAAAAATACAAAAAATTAGCTGGGCATGGTGGTGCGTGCCTGTAATCCCAGCTACTCAGGAGGCTGAGGCAGGAGAATTGCCTGAACCCAGGAGGCAGAGGTTGCGGTGAGCTGAGATCGTACCATTGCACTCCAGCCTGGATAACAAGAGCGAAACTCTGTCTCAAAAAACAAACAAACAAACAAATGAACTGTAAATGGCTTGTGAATCTCATGGATGGGTACCAAGTTCTTTTTTTTTAATTTTTGAGAGAATGTCTTGCTCTGTTGCCCAGGAGGGATGCAATGGTGCAGTCACTGCAGCATTGACCTCAAGATTCAAACAATCCTCCCACCTCAGCCTCCTGAGTAGGTGGAACCACAGGTGTGCCCCACCATGACCTGCTAATTTTTAATTTTTTTGGTAGAGATGGGCTCTCCCTGTATTTTCCAGGCTGGTCTCAAGTTCCTAGGCTCAAGAGATCCTCCCACTTCAGCCTCCCAAAGTACTGGGATTACAGATGTGAGCCACCACACCCGGCTCCATATTCCTGTATAATAGAACTTTATAAAGCAGATTATGGTTGGATCCCATTGAGAAACTTCAGTTACTGAGGACCAACAGAAATTTAAAATTGGAAATTGTAGAACTTACAGGTCCAGTGGAGGCTGGCATTTATAAGTCTCAACTATATCACAAGAGGAAATAAATGGTAACAAAGTAATAGTCTTTTTGAGCTGATCTTCTAGATAGAATATTATACCTCAGATTCTACTGAGCTGCTTTTTTTTTTTTTTTTTTTTTTTGAGATGGAGTTTCGCTCTTGTTGCCCAGGCTGGAGTGCAATGGCGCGATCTCAGCTCACCGCAACCTCCGCCTCCTGGGTTCAGGCAATTCTCCTGCCTCAGCCTCCTGAGTAGCTGGGATTACAGGCATGCACCACCATGCCCAGCTAATATTTTTTGTATTTTTAGTAGAGATGGGGTTTCACCATGTTGACCAGGGTGGTCTTGATCTCTTGACCTCGTGATCCACCTGCCTCGGCCTCCCAAAGTGCTGGGATTACAGGCCTTGAGCCACTGCGCCCAGCTCTGAGCTGCTTTTTAAATATTGTTCCATATTTTTCCTTAAAATTTTTTTGAGAGAAACAGCCTGTCTCTTTGAACTTAATCTGTTTCCCTGTATCTGTTCCTCCATATCCTTTACTACATACATATAATTACCAGAACGGGCAAATCTTTTATTTTATCTTTATTTTTTATAGAGATGGCATCTCACTATGTTGTTCAGGCTGGTCTTGAACTCCTGGGTTCAAATGATCCTCTTGCCTTGGCCTCCCAAAGTGCTAGGATTATAGGCGTGAGTCACCATTCTCGCCCTGGAAAATATTTAATTTCATAAGGAGTCTGAAGTTTGTCAGTGAAGGACTTTTTAGACCTTTTATTGTTAGGCCAAAGACTTTTACTTAAGTGTAAACTTTTGTTTAAAGGTGCTTAAGATTAAATCATTTAAGCTGTAAAACAAAACATCACCTTAAATTTCATTTCAATATTATATGTATAGTTTTTTTTACTATTTTCTTTTCTTTTGAAATGTAGTTTTGCTTTTGTTGCCCAGGCTGGAGTGCAGTGGCATATTCTCAGCTCACTGCAACCTCCACTTCCTGGGTTCAAGCGATTCTCCTGCCTCAGTCTCCTGAGTAGCTGGGATTACAGGTGCCTGCCGCCACACCTGGTTAATTTTTATATTTTAGTGGAGACGGGTTTTGCCATGTTAGCCAGGCTGGTCTTTAACTCCTGACCTCAGGTGATCCGCCTGCCTTGGGCTTCCAAAGTGCTGGGATTACAGGCATGAGCCACCAAGCCTGGCCTACCATTTTCTTGTTGTGGTAAAATATACATAACGCCTTACTGTCTTGGCTTTTTTTTTTTTTTTTTTGAGACAGAGTCTTGTTCTGTTGCCCAGGCTGGAGTGCAGTGGCGCAGTCTCGGCTCACTGTAACTATCACCTCCTGGGTTCAAGCAATTCCCCTGCCTCAGCCCCATGAGTAGCTGGAATTACAGGTGTGTTCTACCTCACTTGGCTAATTCTTTTGTATTTTTAGTAGAGACAGGGTTTTGCCATGTTGGCCCGGCTGATCTTGAACTCCTGACCTCAGGTGATCCACGTGCCTAAGCCTCTGAGTGCTAGAATTACATACGTGAGCTACCATGCCTGGCTTTGGCCATTTTTAAGTATACAGTTCAGTGTCATTAAATACATATATAATGTGCAGCCATCATTATATAGTTTTTAGACTAAGTTCAGACCCATTACTATAATACAATTGAGTCAAAACTATATATAGGTTTTTATTTTTGTTTTTTTTTTTGAGATAGAGTCTCACTCCATCACCAGGCGCCAGGTTGGAGTGCAGTGGTGTGACCTCGGCTTACTGCAACCTCCGCCTCCCGGGTTCAAGCGATTCTCCTGCCTCAGCCTCCCAAGTAGCTGAGACTACAGGCGTGTGCCACCACACCCAGCAAATGTTTTTGTATTTTTAGTAGAGACGGGGTTTCACCCTGTTGGCCAGGATGGTCTCGATCTCTTGACCATGTGATCCACCTGCCTTGGCCTCCCAAAGTGCTGGGATTACAGGCATGAGCCACCATGCCTGGCCAAAACTATATATAGATTTTTGAGGGTTTTTTTTGAGGCAGGGTGTTAGTCTGTTCCCCAGGCTGGAATTTAGTGGTGCAATCATGGCTCACTGCAGCCTTAACTTCCCAGGCTCAAGCAATCCTCCCACCCCAGCCACTGGAGTAGCTGGGACCACAGGCACAAATCAACATGCCTGACTTATTATTTATTTTTTAGAGATGGGGGTACTGCTGTGTTGTCCAGACTTAGTTTTTAAATTGAGTCAAGATTTCTTTTTTTTTTTTTTTTTTTTTTTTTTTTTTTGGAGACGGGGTTTCGCTCTTGTTACCCAGGCTGGAGTGCAATGGCACAATCTCGGCTCACCGCAACCTCCGCCTCCTGGGTTCAAGCAGTTCTCCTGCCTCAGCTTCCCTAGTGGCTGGGACTACAGACGTGTGCCACCATGCCCAGCTAATTTTTGTATTTTTAGTAGAGACGGGGTTTCACCATGTTGACCAGGATGGTCTCGATCTCTTGACCTCGTGATCCACCTGCCTCGGCCTTCCAAAGTGCTGGGATTACAGGCGTGAGCCACCGCGCCCGGCCAAGATTTCTTTTCTCTTTTATTTTTGAGTTGGAATCTTACTCTCAAAAAACTAGGGTCATTTCACTGCATTCCAGCCTGGATGACAGCATGAGACCCTGTCTCTAAAAAATATTTTTTTTTTTTTTTTTTTTTTTTTTTTGAGACGGAGTTTCGCTCTTGTTACCCAGGCTGGAGTGCAATGGCGCGATCTCGGCTCACCGCAACCTCCGCCTCCTGGGTTCAAGCAATTCTCCTGCCTCAGCCTCCTGAGTAGCTGGGATTACAGGCACACGCCACCATGCCCAGCTAATTTTTTGTATTTTTAGTAGAGACGGGGTTTCACCATGTTGACCAGGATGGTCTCGATCTCTCGACCTCGTGATCCACCTGCCTCGGCCTCCCAAAGTGCTGGGATTACAGGCTTGAGCCACCGCGCCCGGCCAGCAAAAATATTTTTAAAATAAAGACTGTTTTTGGCCAGGCACTGTGGCTCATGCCTGTAATTTCAGCACTTTAGGAGGCCGAGGCAAGTGGATCACCTGAGATCAAGAGTTCGAGACCAGCCTGACCAACATGGTGAAACCCTGTCTCTAAAAATACAAAAATTAGCCAGGTGTGGTGGCAGACGCCTGTAATCCCAGCTACTTAGAAGGCTGAGGCAGGAGAATTGCTTGAACCCAGGAGGTGGAGGTTGCAGTGAGCCCAGATGATGCCATTGCACTCCAGCCTAGTGGACAGAGTGAGCCTCCATCTCAAAAAAAAAACAAAAAAAGACTGCTTTAAAAAAAATCTTGGTTGCATATAAATTGAGACCTTTTTTAGTCTGTAGGTTGTGACCCATTAGTGAGTCATAGAATTAGTAGATTCTGATCAGTGTTGTATTCATTTTTTAGAAATTATTTACTGATATATAATAGTTGTACATATCTTGGGGATACACATTATATTTTGACTCCTGAATACAGTGTCTCATGATCAAATCAGGGTAATTGGGATTAATTAGCATTTAAAAATGGCATAAAAATTATCAAAGTAGGGCTGGGCATGGTGGCTCACACCTGTAATTCCAGCACTTTGGGAGGCTGAGGTGGGAGGATGGCTTGAACCTAGGAGTTTGAGGTTATGGTGAGCTATGATCATGCCACTGCAGTATAGCCTGGGCAACAGAATGAAACTTTGTCTCTAAAAAATAAAAATAAAGTTTGACAAAAATAAACCTTTCACAAGTTGTACTTTGATTTTTTTTTTTCCCTTTGGGCTCAAGCAGTTGTCTCACCTCAGCCTCTCAAGTAGGCAGGACCACAGGCATGGGCCACCATGCCCAGCTAATTATTTTTGTAGAACTTTAAAGTTTTAGTTAACTTTTCAATTTGTTATGCAATTTGTTTTATTTTATTTTTTCGAGATGGGAGTCTCACTCTGTTGCCCAGACTATACTGCAACCTCCGCCTCCTGGGTTCAAGTGATTTTCCTGCCTCAAACTCCCAAGTAGCTGGGATTCCAGGTGCCCGCCACCACACTGACTAATTTTTGTATTTTTAGTAGAGACGGGTTTCACCATGTTGGCCAGGCTGATCTTGAACGCCTGACCTCAGGTGATCTGCCTGCCTTGGCCTACCAAAGTATTGAGATTACAGGTGTGAGCCACCGTGCCCAGCCTGTTATGCAATTGAAATAAGAATATAAATTAGTAATATTTTTAGTAGAGATGGGGTTTCACCATGTTGGCCAGGCTGGTCTCAAACTCTTGAGCTCAAGTGATCCGTCATTTTCAGCCTCCCAAAGTGCTAGGATTACAGGCATGAACCACCACGCCCAGCCTGGCCTGGATATTTAATTCATTTTATCAGAATTAATTTTGCAATTGGAAAATGAAAATTTAATGAACTATTATTAAAATTTTGACAAAATATCTTGATGTGGTTTACTGGATATCTGATATCAAAATGGAGTTTTCTAACATCTTTAATAAATGGCCCTCAGTTAATTTTGACAGTGATATATTATAGAAATTTAAAGAGCCATCTTCTTCTTTGAAATCAGGTTTGGCAGGAAATAAATGTGGAAGCTAAACATGTTAAAGATATCATGAAAACACTAGAGAGCTTTAAACTAGACAGCACTCCCTTGAAAGCAGCACAGCATGAATTTCCAGCTTCTGAGGGAGAAGTATGGTCCATGCCTGTACCTGTTGAACGAAGGTAAGTGGAGACCTTTTAAGAAACCAGTTAGCCCAAGGAGCTTATAGCATTGATTCTATCTAGGAGGAGGATGGGGTGGCTGAGAGACAGGAATGTGAGGGAGTTTTTTTTTTTTTTTTACTGAATATTGTCTCTTTTATAACTCTTGAACTTTGTATCATATGCCTTTGTGACCTATTTCAAAAAATAAGATTTAGATAGGAAAAATTCAAATATGTACTTTTGTGAATGACCTTAAAGTGCTAGAGACAGTGTTATCTTGTGGAAGGAGAATGGGGTTAGGAATTGAAATATCCAGGCTCTGCTTCTGTCTTTGCCATTCTCTGTAGCTTTGGGAAAATAATAAAACCTTTTTAGACCTCGAATTTTTCTTTTTCTTTTTCTTTTTCTTTTTTTTTTTAGACAGATTCTCACTCTCTTGCCAAGCTGGAGTGCAGTGGCATGATCTCAGCTCACTGCAACCTCTGCCTCCCAGGTTCAAGTGATTCCCTGCCTCAGCTTCCCGAGTAGCTGGGACTACAGGTGTGCCCCACAATGCCTGGCTAATTTTTTGCATTTTAGTAGAGATGGGTTTCACCATGTTGGCTAGGATGGTCTCAATCTCCTGACCTCGTGATCCTCCTGCCTCGGCCTTCAAAAGTGCTGGGATTACAGGTGTGAGGCCAGGCCTCAGGTTTTTCTTAAGTAAAGAGAGAAAGTCAGACTAATGGCTCTCAAACAGGCATTACAGATTACTTCTTTTCATCAAGGTATAATGTTGCTAAAATTGAAAAAAAAAAATGGGCTTTTTAATTTATAGAGAAAAGTTAAAAGATAAAATGTTCTGAGTTTTAGGGTTTTCTCTGGCATTTTTCCCCCAACTTCCTACTACCAAGTGCTAGCAAATGAACAACTAGTGATACTGATATTTACTGAAATACTGTAAATAGCCAATTGTGTAGTTTTACTGCATAATTTTTAACTGACTAGTGTGCAGGTGGATGTTATCTATTTCACTCACATAGTAGATTTCCTAGTTTGTATTATAGATTTAAATATTCAATGTGTCATGCCTTTCTAGAAAGAACACTTATGACTTCCCACGTTCATTGCCTGTTAACTTTGCATTAAGATGTTGCCCAGATGGTTTTCAGTTTTAATATCTGTTCATTGCAATTTTGAATTCTTGTGTGTGTGTGTGTGTGTGTGTGTGTGTGTGTGTGTTTTAATACTAGTCAAGTGCAGTAGTGAGAAGTAGAGGAAGAATAGAACAAGGGGTTTCATCTGTAACTGACTGTGAACAATCAGTTGAGATAACTCACTACCTTTGGACAGCCTTGGTTATATTTTATTTAATTTTACTTATATTTTTATTTTATTTATTGGGATGGAGTCTCACTCTCACCCAGGCTGTATGTAGTGCAGTGGTGTAATCTCAGCTCACTGCAACTTCTGCCTCCGGGTTCAAGCATTTCTCCTGCCTCAGCCTCCCGAGTAGGTGGGATTATAGACCCGCACTGCCATGCCCAGCTAAGTTTTGTATTTTTAGGAGAGACAGGATTTCATCATGTTGGCCAGGCTGGTCTTGAGCTACTGACCTCAGGTGATCCGCCTGCCTCGGCCTCTCAAAGTGCTGGAAAGTGCTGGAATTATAGGCGTGAGCCACTAAGCCCGGGCTGGTTGTATTTTATAATCACAGGTGCTGGATTATACATCCATGGTGCCCTGAACTATTTTAGGCTATAGGTATTATTTTATTTATTTCTTACAATATGCCTTCCAAATAGGTCATATTTTCCCTATATTTCAGATTAGACAGCTGATGTACAATAAGGTTGGGTAACTTTTCCCTACTATCACAAAACTGGTAACTGTAGAGCCAGGATTTGAACATAGATGTATTGTGTTTTACGATATAATTACAAATCTGGCACTCTCTGCTATAGCAGGCCTAACAATCTCTAATTAAAAATGATTAAAAATGTGGATTCAGGGGCATCACTCCCAGAGAATGTGATATGGTAGATAGTGGATAGAACTCAGGAATCTGCCAGGCGTGGTGGCTCATGCCTGTAATCCTACCTAGCACTTTGGGAGGCTGAGGTGGGTGGATCACCTGAGGTCAGGAGTTCAAGACCAGCCTGGCCATCATGGAGAAACCCCATCTTTAAAAATAAAAAAAAAATAATAATAAAAAAAGAACTCAGGAATCTACAGGTGATTCTGATACAGGTGGTCCATAGGTCACACTTTGAGAAGACCGATACCATCATGTTCTTAACATTTAAAATCAATTAATGAGTATTGATTATTTCTTAGCCACTTTTATTTTTATTTGTTTATTTTTTTGAGATGGAGTCTTGTTCTGTCATCCAGGCTGGAGTGTAGTGGCGAGATCTCGGCTCACTGTAGCCTCCACCTCCTGGATTCAAGCAATTCTCCTGTCTCTGCCTCTCAAGTAGCTGGAATTATAGGCATGCACCACCACGCCCAGCTAATTTTTGTATTTTTAGTAGAAATGGGTTTCAGGATGTTGGCCAGGTTGGTCTTGAGCTCCTGACCTCAGGTAATCCACCTATGTTGGTCTCCCAAAGTGTTAGGATTACAGGCGTGAGCCACTGCAACTGGGCGCCATTTAATTTTCTTAATCTCCACATGCAAGGACTGTACTAATATTCTGTTACTGACTCCTGATATCCTTTGGATATTTACAAAATTTTTCCTATGCCTCATAAGCACTTTCATGTAAATTACATTTTCTGTTATATAATAGTTCACTACAAAAAAGCACAGTAGACTCATTAAAGAAAAACTTCATAGAAGTAGGGGGAAAATCACAGTCATCCTAGTTTATTTCATTCTGATCTTTTATGCATTATTTTCATAGTTGTAGTTGTGCTATGTCCATAATTTATAACATTGTACTCTCTTCTAAGAAAAATCCAAACAATAGTCAAGAATCATTGCATATTTACTGTGTGCCAGGTATGCGTTTGTTGTTTTGCATGTATTACTTAATTCTTAAAACCATCTTAAAAGGTAGGTACTAATTTTTTTAGCCCCAATTTCTGATGAGGCTAAGCTATGATAGGTTAAGTAATTTGCTCTTCATATTTTAAACATTTATGGTTTATAAGCCATGCCATATATTTTTCTCTGTAGTTTTTTAAGAGTTATTTGCTATTGTTCTGACTGGTATGTGACCTATATTGTTAACCATGCTCTTAATGTTTTTTCCCCTTTTTTCATTATTATAATGTTGTGTGAATATTTGTGAGTAAAAATTTTTCTGCATTTAAATTGTTTCCCCTAATTTCAGACTAATAGATAAGTTAAGCTGTGTTTTTGCTTTTGCCTGTTAATTTGTTTTATTATTATTTACTTGCCCTTTTCTTTTCTCTTTCTGGAGGATCATTGCTTGGGTCTTGTATTAGTCTGCTTGGGCTACCATAACACAGTATCATACACTGGGTGGCTTAAACAACAGAAATTTATTTCTCACACTCAGGCTGGAAAGTCCAAGATCAAGATGTGGCCAGTTTGGTTCCAGGTGAGGGCTCTCTTCCTGAGCAGACAGCTGCCTTCTCTCTGTGTGCTCACTTGGCAGAGAGAGTGAGTGAATTCTTTGGTGTCTTTCATAAGGACATTAATCCTATCACATCAGGGACTCTTACTTCCTTACTCCTAATAGTCATATTGGGCATTGGGGCTTTAACATATGAATTTTGGGGAGGACACGAACATTCAGCCTCTAACAGTCCTATAACTCCTCAGTTATTAGTCAGATTTTTCCAACAAATAGATGTTCCCAGTGGAAAATCAGTTGATTCTGAATTTAGTGAAGTATTTGGTTACCTCAGTCTCACAAGCAGAGGCAGGAGTCCCTTTGAGGGGTGGTGGTTGGGAAGTTAAGCCCTAAGTGGTATTCCTTTTTATTGCTTCTTGCTTTCTTCAATATCATTTTCTGTCCCTGATTTTGAATGCTCTAGATTACTGTTATGTTTTCCTTTTTTGATTTTATTTGGCATCTTTCTATTTCTTCTTGTACTTTATTTTACTTGCTCTCTTAACTGGATGTCTTTCAAGTTTTTAAAAATTTTTCTATTAGTCTTCATTTGTACTCATGCTTAAGAAAGTCATTTCTTCTTTACTTGTGTTGGTGATTCTAACCTTGTCATCACCTAAATTTTAGTACTATTTAAATAATAGATTTACCTGATCCAGTATTCTCTTCTAGAACTGTACACAAAAAATGTGAGTACAAGGAGGTTCATTGAAGCCTTATATTGAAAAGGTTATACATAGCTTAAATGCCACTAGATGTGATTCTTTTCAAATGTCTTTTAACAGTCAGCTGATGTCCCTCAAATATCTTCCCATCGCACGCAGGAAAACCCAGAGTTTTCGTGTCTTTCAGGGCCTGTGAGACCTGGTTCCCCCAGCCTCTAGGACCTAAGTTCTTGCAGCGCTCTCCCTCAGGCACTGTGCTGTGGCCTTGAACAAGCCAAGCACACAAATGCTTTACTCCTTTCATCTGCCTTTCCCTTAGCTCCAGTGCCTAATGACCTGTTCCCTTATTTCATTCAGCTCTCTACTTAATCGTCACCTCGGAAAGTCTGTCCCTGTCATCCAGGCTGGAGTGCAGTAGTGCATCAGTGTATCTCAGCTTACTGCAACCTCCACCTCCTGTGTCCAAGCAATTCTTATGCCTCAGCTTCCTGAGTAGTTGGAATAATTACCTGGCTAATTTTTTTTTTTTTAGATGGAGTCATACTCTGTCATCCAGGCTGGAATGATGCAGTGGCATGATCTTGGCTCACTGCAACCTCTGTCTCCAGGGTTCAAGCAATTCTCTTGCCTCAGCCTTCCAAATAGCTGCGATTACAGACATGTGCCACCATGCCCAGCTTTTTTTATTTTTTTTTATTTTTTTTTATTTTTAGTAGAAACTGGATTTCACCATGTTGGCCATGAGGCTGTCTTCCTGAGGCCATTCCCATTGCCATAGTACTAGGTCTGTTTCACACCTTGTAGTAGTATACATACCTAGCTTTACATAGCTTCTGTCTAACTATACTGTGGTTTATTTGAGAATAGGATTCCTTTTTTTGGTTTGTTTTCCCCCTTTTAAGTGGCTGCAACCAAATCTGGGAGCAGAATAGGAGCCTAACAGATGCTTGAGAAGTGTGATTTCTGCTACAGAAATAAGGACGAAATGAGGACCAGCACAGGAGCTCACTCCTATAATCCCAGCTCTTTGGGAGGCTAAGGTGGGAGGATCAATTGAGCCCGAGGGTTTGATACTATCCTAGGCAACATAATGAGACCTTGTCTCTACAAAATAAAAAAATTAGCCTTTTGTGGTGGCATGTCCTTGTAGTCCTTGCTACTTGGGAGGCTGAGCTGGGAGGATTGCTTGAGCTTGGTAAGTCAAGGCTGCAGTGACAGAGCAAGACCCTGTCTCAAAGGATAATAATAATAAGATATAAATACATACAGGTGGAATGAGGTGATGTATGTAAATGTAAAGCACCGTATTTGAGTTCTAGTAACTGTTCATAGCTAGTGCTTATATCAGTTTTTAAATGGGAAAATGATTAAATTTTATTAATTAAAACACAAAAATGATGGTACAAATTGAGCATTCCTAATCTGAAAATTCAAAATGTTTCAAAATCTAAAACTTTTTGAGCATCAACATGACACTCAAAGGTCATGCTCAAAGGAAGTGCTCATTGGGACATTTCAGATTGTGGATTTTCAGATTAGAGATGCTCAGCTGGTATGTATATGCAAATATTCCAAAATCTGAAAAAACAAAAATTCAAAACACTTCTGGTCCTCAGAATTTTGGATAAGGGATACCCAACCTGTATATTCTAAGTAAATGGTACCAAATTGCATACATACCAATGGATAAATGTGAATGGAATACTTGTACTGTATTCTGGTTGTTTTGATAAAACTCTCTTCTCTGATGATTGCTTTTTTCTGTTTCCAACAATCAGACTAATTTTGCATTCATTTTTGATGTACAGCAATTTCCTTTCTAAGTACAGGTGACTATTAGTTCCCCTCCACTATTTCTGTAATGTATTTATTTCTTTTTATTTAATTTGATTTATTAAATCACCAACAACAGCTCATATCAGATTTACATTTTATTTTATTTTTATTTTTCATTTTTTGGGTTTTTTTTTTTTTTTTTAGTTGGAATCTTGGTTTGTTGCCCAGGCTAGAGTGCAGTGGCACAGTCTTGGCTCACTGTACTTTCCACCTCCCAGGTTCAAACTATTCACCTGCCTCAGCCTCCCGAGTGACTAGGATTACAGGCACGCACCTCTACGCCTGGCTAATTTATTGTATTTTTAGTAGATAAAGGGTTTCACCATGTTGGCGAGGCTGGTTTTGAACTCCTGACCTCAAGTGATCTACCCAACTTGGCCTCCCAAAATGCTAGGATTATAGGCGTGAGCCATGGTGCCTGGCCCAGATTTAAATTTTAGATCTTAGGTTTCAACATCCTGAAGTTTATTCAGTTGTGTCTTGTGTTCAGTTGTTGCATTGGCTTTTTACATAGATTCTAACTTAAACAGTATGTGTGTTCATCCACATTTGGAGTCAATTATGATATTAAAAAGTTTTTGTTTGATTAGACCCTCACCAGGACCTAGAAAACGACAGTCTTCTCAGTACAGTGACCCTAAATCACATGGTAATCGTCCAAGTACATCTGTCAGAATTCATCGTTCATCTGCACAGAATCTTCACAATGACAGAGGGAAAGCTGTTCGTTGTCGTGAAAAGAAAGAACAGAATAAAGGAAGAGAGGAAAAGGTAAATGTTACTGATTTTCATAAATGAAAAAGTTATTTCCAAACAGTAAAAATGAAGACTGTACAAATGTATTTATTGTTTATTTATTTATTTTTTAAGATAGAGAGTCTCACCCTGTCACCCAGGCTGGAGTGCAGGGACATGATCTCTGCACATTGCAACCTCTACCTCCTGGGTTCAAGCAATTCCCATGTCTCAGCCTTCCAAGTAGCTGGGGTTATAGGCAGGCGCCACCACATCTGGCTAATTTTTGTATTAGTAAAGAAAGGGTTTCATCAAGTTGGCCAGGCTGGTCTCAAACTCTTGACCTCAGGTGATCTGCCTCCTCGGCCTCCCAAAGTGCTGGGATTACAGGCATGGGCCACTGTGTCTGGCCCAAATTTCAATAAGTTGTAGTCATCTGTTTGCCAGAGAGCTATGATAAAACCTTACTTATACTACATCTAGGCTGGGATTTTCCCCACTTGCAATTCAACAAATATTTTGGCTTTTTTTTTGGTAACTTTATATATATATATTTTTTTTGAGACGGAGTTTCGCTCTTGGTGCCCAGGCTGGAGTGCAATGGCGCGATCTCGGGTCACCGCAACCTCCGCCTCCTGGGTTCAGGCAATTCTCCTGCCTCAGCCTCCTGAGTAGCTGGGATTACAGGCACGAGCCACCATGCCCAGCTAATTTTTTGTATTTTTAGTAGAGACGGGGTTTCACCATGTTGACCAGGATGGTCTCGATCTCTCGACCTCGTGATCCACCCGCCTTGGCCTCCCAAAGTGCTGGGATTACAGGCTTGAGCCACCGCGCCCAGCCCAGTAACTTTATATTTTGATGTAATTTCAGACTAGCAGACAATTTCCAGGAATGGCATAAAGAACTTCCATATATACTTTACCTAGTTTTATCTATTATTAATATTATGCCCCTCTTGATTTATCATTTTCTTCCTCTGTATACCCTTTTCCTGAACCGTTTGAGACTAAGTTGTAAATATAATGCTCCTTTAACCTAAATACTTCAGAATGAATATCCTGCGTACTAGGATATTCTTTTACATAAAAGCAACACAATTATCAAAAGCTGTAAATTTTACATTGATATAGTTCTGTTCATCTAATCCACATACCTTTATAAGATTTTGCCAGTTATCCCAATAATGTCATTTAGAGATTTTTCCCCCTTCTCTCCCTGCTAGATCAGAATACATTGTAGATTCACAAATTGAATTTAGTTGTCATGTTTCTTTAGTTCCTTTGAATATAAACCTCTTTTCAGCTTTTGCCTTTCTTGGACTGGCATTTTTTTTTTTTTTTTTTTTTTTTTTTTTTTTTTTTTTTTTTTTTTTTTTTTTTTTTGAGATGGAGTCTCACTTTTGTTGCCCAGGCTGGAGTGCAATGTCACAATCTTGGCTCACTGCAAACTCTGCCTCCCACATTCAAGCGATTCTCCTTCCTCAGCCTCCTGAGTAGCTGGGATTACAGGGGTGCACCACCATTCCTGGCTAATTTTGTATTTTTAGTAAAGAGGGGTCTCGAACTCCTGACCTCAGGTGATCTGCCTGCTTCAGCCTCCCAAAGTGCTGGGATTACAGGCATGAGCCACCACACCCGGCCTTGGACTGACATTTTTGAAGAGTTCAGGCCAGTTATTTTGTGGATTATGTCTCAGTTTGGGCTTGCCTGATACTTCCTCTTGGCAGAAATATCATTGGTAGGATTTTTTTTTTTTCCTCTCTCTCTCAGTGTATCATGTAAGAAGGTACAGGATGTCTGTTTGTCCTATTACTGGTGATAAGTTGGATTGCTTGGTTAGGTGGTGTCTGCTTGATCTCTCCACAATAAACTTACTGTTTGACCCTTTGTAATAATTTGTGGGAGGTACTTTGAGACTATATAAATATTCTGTTTTTCATCAATAATTCATCTAGTTTTAGCATCCAGTGATTCTTGTCTGAATCAGTTATTTCTGCACTGATTGCAAAATCATAATTTTCTAATGCCATTATTGCTTCTATATTAATTATAAAAGCCAAGTGTAGACATTGCTTTGGTTTTTTAAAATCTTGTGTTTGTTGTTTTTAATTTGACACATAATAATCATACATATTTATGGAGTACAGTGTGATAATTCAATACACGTATATACTGGGTAATGAGCAATTCAGTAATTAACATATCCATCACCTCAAACATTTATCATTTCTTTGTGTTGGGAATATTCAAAATCTGTTCTAGTTATTTGAAAATGTACCATAAATTGTTTTTAATTACAGTCACCTGGCTGGGCACGGTGGTTTACTCCTATAATCCCAGCACTTTGGGAGGCCGAGGCAGGTGGATCACTTGAGATCAGGAGTTCATCAGCCTGGCCAACATGGTGAAACCCCATCTCTATTAAAAATACAAAAAAAATTAGCTGGGCATGTTAGCACACACCTATAATCCCAGCTACTTGGGAGGCTGAGACAGGAGGATTGCTTGAGCCTGGAAGGCATAGGTTGCAGTGAGCCAAGTTCATGCCACTGCACTCCAGCCTGGGAGACAAAGTGAGACTCTGTCTCAAAAAAAAAAAAAAAAAAATTACAGTCACCCTATAGTACTACAGAACACTAGAATTTATTCCACCTTGGCCTCTTAAAGTGCTGGGATTACAGGCATGAGCCACCATGCCTGGCCTTTTTTGAGACAGTCTCTTGCTCTGTTGCCTATCTAAGTGCAGTGGCATGATTCTGGCTCACTGCAACCTTCACTACCCATGCTAAAGCAATCCTCCCACCTCAGCCTCCCAAGTAGCTGGAACTGTAAGCATGTATTACCATGCCTGGCTAATTTTTGTATTTTTTTTGTAAAGATGGAGTTTCACCATGTTACCCAGGCTGGTCTCAAACTCAGAATCAAGCAGTCCCCCAGTCTCAGCTTCACAGAGTGCTGGTTGTGAGCCACTACACCCAGCCTTGTTTAGCTTTTGTGTTAGTCACAATTTAGTGTTTTTTTGCTCTGATTTTTTTATTCATGGGGTGGGGAGACAGGGTCTCACTCTGTCACCAGACTGGAGTGCAGTGGCACAGTCACTGCTCACTGTAGCTTTGACTTCCTGGACTCAAGCAACCCTCCTGCCTCAGCCTCATGAGTAGCTGGGAGTATAAACGTGTAACACCATGCCCAACTAATTTTTAATTTTTTTTCTGAGAGACAGAGTCTCACTGTGTTACCCAGGCAGGTCTTGAACTCCTGGGCTCAAGCGATCCTCCCAGTTTGGCTTCCCAAAGTGCTGGGATTACAGGCATGAGCCACTACACCTGGCCTTGCTCTTATCTTTATTATTTATTTCTCTCTACTGATTTTGAGTTTAGTTTGTTCTTGCTCTTCTAGTTCCTTGAGATGTGTTTCTCTGTTATTTGAAATCTTTGGACTTTCTGGTCTAGGCAATTATTGCTATACATGTAGTGTTACTATTGCTGTATCCCATAGGTTTCAGTATATTATGTTCTGATTTTTATTTGTTTCAGTAAATGTTTTATTTCCCTTCTTAATTTCTTTATTGAGTCATAAGTTGTTTAGGAACATGTTCTTTAGTTTTTCTGTATTTGAATAGTTTTGAAAGTTGCTCTTGTTATGTCAGAAAAGATACTTGATGTGATTTCACTTCTTTTCAATTAGTTGAGACTTGTTTTTTGGCCTAACATATGGTCTATCCTGGAGAACATTCTCCCATCCGAGTCCTAACCAGGCCTGACCCTGCTTAGCTTCCGAGATCAGATAAGATTGTGTGTGTTCTGGCCATAGACTCTCCTGGAGAACGTTCTGTGTGCCAATGAAAACCTCACTGCAGCCTTCACTAACCGTGCTCAAGTGATCCTCCCACCTTAGCCTCCCACATAGCTGGCAGTACAAGCATGCACCACAATGCCTGGCTAATTTTTGCATTTTTAATAGAGACCGGGTTTTGCCATGTTGGCCAGGCTGGTCTCGAATTCCTGACCTCCGGTGATCCACCTGTCTCGGCCTCCCAAAGTGCTGGGATTATAGGCGTGAGCCACAACACCCGGCCTGAGACCTTCTTGCTTAACATATTCATTTAGTGCTCTAAATTGCCCTGTCAGCACTGCTTTAACTGTGTCCCAGGAATTTTGATAAGTTGTATCTTTATTTTCCTTCAGGCAATGTATTCTTTGATTGCCAAGAGACTTCTTTTTTGACCTGGATTATTTAGTGATGTATTGTTTAGTCCAATTGTGTGGAGATTTTCTTGTTATCTTCCCGTTACTTATTCCTAGTTTTAATCCTTTGTGTTTGAGAATATACTTCATATAATTTCCACTCTTTCAAACTTGTCTAAATTTGTTTTTGGCCCGAAATATGGTCTGTTTTGGTATATATTCTGTGAACGCTTGAGAAGAGTATGTATTTTGCTGTTGTTAGGTGGAGTTTTCTATAAATGTCTGTTGGATCCTTTGGATGGTGTTACTGAGCTCTATATGCTTGCTGATTTTTCATTTTATTTGTGAGATGGGCTCTCACTCTGTTGCAGGCTGGAGTGCAGTGGCACCAATCATGGCTTAATGTGGCCTTGAACTCCTTAGGCTCAAGGGATCTTCCTGACTCAGTCACCTGAGTAGCTGGGACTACAGATGTGTGCTACCACACCTAGCTAATTTTTTAAATTTTTATTTTGTAGAGACAGGATCTCATTTTATTGCCCAAGCCGGTCTTCAAGTCTTCCCATCTTTGCCTTCCAAAATGCCAGCATTATAGGCGTGGGCCACCACACCTGGCCTGAGTTTTTTTCTTGAAAAAAAAAATTTTTTTTTAAAAATACTATGCTACTTTCTCTGGCTTTCTTTTTATTTATTTATTTATTTTTTTAGATGGAGTCTCTGTTGTCAGGCTGGAGTGCAGGTGGAGTGCTCTTGGCTCACTACAAGCTCTGCCTCCTGGGTTCAAGTGATTCTCCTACATCAGTCTCCCAAGTAGCTGGGACTACAGGCATACGCCACCATGCCCAGCTAACTTTGTAGTTTTAGTAGACACAAGGTTTCACCATGTTGGCTAGGATGGTCTTGATCTCTTGACCTTGTGATCTGCCCACCTTCGTCTCCCAAAGTGCTGGGATTTTTTTTTTTTTTTTTTGGAGACAGAGTTTCACTCTTGTTGCCCAGGCTGGATTGCAATGGTGCGATCTTGACTCGGCAATCTCTGCCTCCTGGGTTCAAGTGATTCTCGTGCCTCAGGCTCCTGAGTAGCTGGGACTAGAGGCATGTGCCACCACACCTGGCTAATTTTTTGTGTTTTTAATAGAGACAGGGTTTCTCCATGTTGGTCAGGCTGGTCTAGAACTCCTGACCTCAGGTGATCCTCCTGCCTCAGCCTCCCAAAGTGCTGGGATTACAGGTGTGAGCCACTATGCCTGGCAATGCTGGGATTAAAAGCATGAACTAGCTTGCTTTTCTGAGAAGAAATCTGCTTTCATCAGAATTGCTTTTCCCTATAGGCAAGGTGTTGATATTCTTTCATTGCTTCCAATTTTTTCTTTTCTTTAGTTTTCAGAAGTTAAAGTATAATGTGTGTTGGCATGGAGTCTTTGGGGTCTTCTATTTTTTTCTGAGGCTATTTTTCTTAAGAATGTTGCAAGTACATTCATAATTGCTTATTGAAGCATATAAAAGTCTTTAAAATCTGTCAGGAAACTAACATCTCTGTCATCTTGGTGTTGGCATCTGTTGATTGTCTTTTTTCATTTAGTTTGAGATCTTCATGGTTCTTAGTATGAGGAATTTTTTGTTGAAACTTGGACATTTTCATATTATATTATGAGCCTCTAGATCTTATTTAAACCTTCTCTTTAGCTGACTTTCCCTAACACTGCTCTGGCAGGGAGAATAGGGGTACCACTGCTGCCAGGTGGGGATGGAAGTTCAGGTTCCCAAGCCAGCCTCTGCCAGCACCTGCAGAGGGGCAGAGACCTTCTCATGACTGCTGAGCTGTGGTAGAAGTTCTCTGCACACTCTCCAGGGACACTGTAGTTTTGGAGTGGAAGTCCAGGTTTCCTCTATGATCTCCAGTGACTGCGGCTGGGAGGGGTGGGGAGAGGGGAATGTACAGGGGCTCTCGTTGCTGGCCAGTGGGAATGGAAGTTTCAGCTTCTTACTTAGCCTCTGATTCTACCCTGGTTGAGGTGTGCGGTACCTCATTGTAGGCTTTCGGAGGTGGAAAGTCTATGCCTTCTACTCTGCCTTTGCTACCCTAGGTGGGGCTGGGGCCACAAGTCTTTGGTGGTGTTTGACTGGAGTAGTTATTGTCTAAAAGCTGTGTCTTGCTAGGCTGCCCCTTTCTTGGTCCTTTGCCTAGAAAGAGCAAGCTTCTATTGGGGCGGTTTTTGTTTGTTCAGATTCCAGGTTGCCGGCTCTTCAGCCCCAAGTCTGGACATTTGAAAGAGAAAGTAAATGCAGGGAACACCATGTTTGAGTTCCTTAGTGGTTCTGTTGGCTTCTTTGCACCTTTCAGAGTCCTCCTGTGTTTGTGGTGTATATAATACCCAAGGGTTTTAGCTCTACTTAGTGGAAAAAATGCTGAAAAGTATCATCCATCCTCCCAGAGGTGAGAGCCCAGCTGTCATTTTAAATTAACTTTTTTTTTTTTTTTCCCTGAGGTAATGGGTTTTGTGTTTATAATTTTGGCAGCTTTAAAAATAAGTAGTTTTTTTTTTCTTTCTTTCTTTCTTCTTTTTGACAGAGTCTTGCTTTGTCACCCAGACTAGAGTGTAGTGGTGCAATCTCAGCTCACTGCAACCTCTGCCTCCCAGGTTCAAGCGATTCTCCTGTCTCAGCCACCCGAGTAGCAGGGATTACAGGCATGTGCCACCATACCTGGCTAACTTTTTATATTTTTAGTAGAGATGGGGCTTCACCATGTTGGCCAGACTGGTCTTGAACTCCTGACTTCAGGTGATCCACCCACCTCAGCCTCCCAAAGTGTTGGGATTACAGGCGTGAGACATCATGCCCAGCCAGAACTGTGTAACATTTAAGAGAAGAAGATAATCTTTTCTTCAAAGTATTTATAAAGTTGTTATTCATTTACAGATATTTAACAAGTGTCTGTTCTGTGTTAGCTGCCATGGAGAACAGAAAGAAGACACTGTCCCTGACTCTCAGGAAGATATAATATAAGCCAGGGAAGATAGAAGGCATTTTTTCTTTCTCTTTCCTTTCTTCCATAGAACACAGTACTAAGGGAATGTCTGCAGACAAAGCAAAATAAATTTAAGTAAGCGGAAAAAAGAAACAGTGCTGTACTAGGCCAGCCAAAGGAATTTCAAATGCTGACATATTTAATAGGATTTTATTTGATTAGTTGAAGTAGTACAATTTCTATTAGGTGAACATCTGTCCAATAATTTGCTCCTGGCTAGGTGCAGTGGCTCATTCCTGTAATTCCAGCACTTTGAGAGGCTGAGACAGGTAGATCACTTGAGGCCAGGAGTTCGAGATCAGCCTGGCCAACATGGTGAAACCCCATCTCTACTAAAAATACAAAGAATTAGCTGGGCATAGTGGTACATGCCTGTAGTCCCAGCTGCTCAGGAGGCTGAGGCAGGAGAATAGCCTGAACCCAGGAGGTGGAGGTTAGAATGAGGTGAGATTGCACTGCTGCACTCCAGCCTGGGCAAGAGAGCAAGATTCCATCTCAAAAAAAAAAAAAAAAAAAAAAAAAAAGGTTACACAGTTCCTACCTTGAATCTTATATTTAGTATTAGAGGCTCAGTACACATATTGTAAAACAGATGCTTATTTGGCCATCTAGGATAACATTTTGAATATCATAAATATTGGTTAATCCTGGACATTAATAATGACATTAGACAGCACCAGTTGACAAAGGAATCATGTTATGTGCAAAAAAACTGTTATGGGAATTGGGTAACAATTTTAATACAAGACAGAAGAAATGTTTGTTTACCCGAATGCAGGGCTTCACAGATTTTCTTGGCCTATAAAATTCATGAATATCTTAGTAATTTTTTTTTTTTTTTTGAGATGGAGTTTCGCTCTCGTTACCCAGGCTGGAGTGCAATGGCGCGATCTCGGCTCACCGCAACCTCCGCCTCCTGGGCTCAGGCAGTTCTCCTGCCTCAGCCTCCTAAGTAGCTGGGATTATAGGCACGCGCCACCACGCCCAGCTAGTTTTTTGTATTTTTAGTAGAGACGGGGTTTCACTATGTTGACCAGGATGGTCTCGATCTCTCGACCTCGTGATCCACCCGCCTCGGCCTCCCAAAGTGCTGGGATTACAGGCTTGAGCCACCGCGCCCGGCGAGTATCTTAGTAATTTTTATACAGCATCTGTAGGCCAGGATACTCATCCATTTATGAAAAATGCCTATCCATTTATGAAGAAGTTAGGTTCAAACAGTTTATGGCCTACCAGTTTAACACCTATTGGGCCCTATTACACAGTTTCTCAAACCTTGCAGTCAGAATGAACATTCTACCCTCATTCCTCTTCCACATTGATTTTCTCTCTGTACATTTTATCATAGCAACTGCCCAAAACCCAGCTTCATAAAATATGACATTATTGAGGCCAGATGTGGTGGCTCATGCCTATAAATCCTAACACTTTGGAAGGCTGAGGTGGGCTGTTCACTTGAGGTCAGGAGTTTGAGATCAGCCTGGCCAACAGGGTGAAACCTCGTCTCTACTAAAAATACAAAAATTTTAGCCAACCGTGTGGTGCATACCTGTAATCCTACTTAGGAGGCTGAGACAGAATTGTTTGAACCTGGGAGTTGGAGGTTGCAGTGAGCCGAGATCACACCACTAGACACCAGCCTGGGTGACAGAGCAAGACTCTATCTAAAATAATAATAAAATAAATAAATATGGCATTATTGAAGAGCAGTATAGCAGTCCTATGTAGGAATTGTGGACTACCTCAAGCTAGTAGTTTATACAGTGTTCAACAGATGTTGCTGTGTTTTTTTTTTTTAAATTTAAACTATTCCACAGCACCTTGTGAGTTTGCCATTGTGTCCTGGGTATTGAGTACATAGTTTGGGAACCATGGCCATGATGACTGTCATCACAGAAGCGAGGAATCTCACGTAAGGACTGAGATGTGTCTTGTGGAGGGTACTAGGAATGATGAAAAGGGATATTTTTAGGAGCACTGATGAGGGCCAAGTAGGTACTTAAGATTGAGCCATAGTCTTGGCTAAATAAGCCATCTGTCTTTAATCTTATCTCCTCGAAAGAATTGAGATACATTTTGTATATATCTGCTATTTACTTGTGACCACATTTATCTCAGTATTAGTTTTTTTATGCTAGCCAGTTCATATGCGTGGTAATTTTTGTTACTTTTCTTGATACTTTTGATACATCAAACTGCTGCTGATAGAGAAGGATGACTTCCAGTCTTTGATCCAATCTTTGTTACTTGTATTAGCTTTTTAAAGGATGTCATTTGAGTCCAATCTGTGTTTCTTTTCTTTTCTTTTTTTTTTTTTTCTTTTTTTTTTCTTTTTTTTTTTTTTTTTTTTTTTTTGAGACGGAGTTTCGCTCTTGCTACCCAGGCTGGAGTGCAATGGCGCGATCTCGGCTCACCGCAACCTCCGCCTCCTGGGCTCAGGCAATTCTCCTGCCTCAGCCTCCTGAGTAGCTGGGATTACAGGCATGCACCACCATGCCCAGCTAATTTTTTGTATTTTTAGTAGAGACAGGGTTTCACCATATTGACCAGGATGGTCTCGATCTCTTGACCTCGTGATCCACCCGCCTCGGCCTCCCAAAGTGCTGGGATTACAGGCTTGAGCCACCGAGCCCGGCCCAATCTGTGTTTCTTATTCACAGAAACAAAATAAATGAATTAAAAGTTCTTGTTTTTTTTTTTCTTGATGTAGAACAAATCACCTGCTGCAGTAACAGAACCAGAGACAAATAAATTTGATAGTACTGGATATGATAAAGACTTAGTAGAAGCTTTGGAAAGAGATATAATTTCCCAGAATCCCAATGTTCGATGGTAAGTTATATCGAAACAAAATAATTGGGTGCTGATGGTGCTTTTTGGAATGGAAAATAGAACAAATGTGAACGTGTACTGAAGAGCAGAGCTTGAAGATAAAACTGGAGTATATGCAACATGAGCATGACTTTACTGCGTTCAGCCTGTTCCAATTCTTGTCTGAGAGTCTGAGTTTTTTTTTTTTTTTTTTGAGATGAAGTCTTGCTCTGTTGCCCAGGGTGGAGTGCAGTAGCACGATCTCAGCCCACTGCAACTTCCCCCTTCAAGGGCCAAGTGATTCTTCTGCCTCAGATTCCTGAGCAGCTGGGACTACAGGCATGTGCCACCACACCTGGCTAATTTTTGTATTTGTAGTAGAGATGGGGTTTCACCATGTTGACCAGGCTGGTCTCAAACTCCTGACCACGTGATCCGACCACCTCAGCCTCCCAAAGTGCTGGGATTACAGGCGTCAGCTACTGTGCTTGGCATTTGTTTTTGTTTTTTAGAGATAGGGTCTCACTTTGTTGCCCAGGCTGGAGGACAGTGGCTCGATCATAGCTCTCTGCAGCTTCAAACTTCTAGGCTCAAGTGATCTTCCTGCTACAGCCTTCCAAGGAACTGTGACTACAGCTGCACACCACTGCATCTAGCTATTTTAAAAAAATGATTTTTAGAGATGGAGTCTTGATCAGGCTGGTCTTGAACTCTTGGGTTCAAGTGATCCTCCTGCCTCAGCCTCCCAGAGTGCTAGGATTACAGTCATGAGTCAATGCACCTGGCCAAGGCAATGATTTTTACCTACGTGTGTTGCTTATTAACTCTAGCATCCTATAAATGTTGCTTCCCCCCCCCCCCTTTTAGAGGAGTGGTTCTCAACTTTATTAATATTACATGTGATCAAAGATCTGTAATGTATTACAATGACTTATAAAAGTTAACTTTTCCATAAAGTTAGGTATATTCTGTTTATATTTGTGTTAAAACCTTAATGATTATTAGGTATGGGTTTGAGTGATATTAAAAAATATTGGGGACATTAATATGTATACAGTGAAATACCTTTTTTTTTTCTTTTTAACAAAAATTGCCACATGTAGCAGTAGTAATAGGTATTCTAGTGGTTGGAGAAGACTTTATAGCAATTTCTTGTAGTCTTTATTTTTCTTTTTCTTTTTTTCCTTTTAAGTCTATAAAGAAATTGCTTCTTCTGAGCCCTGTGATACTCTTTAACCTTGGTATCTACCTCTAAATAGAGCTGGAGGCAAAGCAGCTATGTTGTAGACTGTCTCTGCTTTAAACCCTTTTTATTCTTTATGCTTTTTTTTAAAATAAAAAAAAAGGGCTCATTGTTTCTAAATCATGGAGGTTATGGAATGAGGACCTTAAGAGCAGGAGTTTAAGATAACACGATAATGTTGGAGAGCGGGCCTGGAGACTATGTTCTCATGATCCAGGCAAAAAACTGTCAACTGCCAAGAACTGAAGAAAAGGTTGTGCTCTTTGCCTATGTACTGGTTGACATGGTGGGCCTCCTCGCAGTGCGTTAGTTCTCCCGTGCGCACGGAGAGGCTCACCATTCTGTCAGCAGCGTAACATCACGTGCTTCCAGGGCTTCTCATGAGTGACTACATAGACATATATCCTCCAAAGGCTTATTAGTTAATAAAATGTCTTCTCTTTCAGGGATGATATCGCTGATTTAGTAGAAGCTAAAAAGTTGCTTAAGGAAGCCGTGGTGTTACCAATGTGGATGCCTGAATTCTTTAAGGGCATTAGGAGACCATGGAAGGTAAGTCTATTACTGTGATGGCATTGTCAAAGTAAATGGCAGCATGTTGATACAGAGAGCCAATATTTCTCTATATTGGGACAGTGGAGGGAGAAAGCGGAGTAAGGAAATTTTTAAATTACAAAGTATATGTTGTGCTACTGAGAATTTTGTTAGGCCAAAAGCCATTGCAAGATTCCTTGAATAAGAAATACATACAATATGATCTGGAAAGTTGAATACACAGCATTAAAATGTAGAATTCACCCCATTTAGAATGAGCTGTATTTGCAAATATGACCTAGTTAGCTAAAGCAAAAATATGCCATTTTATGTCATGTTACATGACTAGTAACCTGTATTTTGGGGATTGTTCTCAATTAACGGGAAATATCTGCATGTGATGAGTGCTTTTTGAAGTCATGGGCTGATCTGAAAAAAGACCATCAACACTTAAAAAAAAAAAGACCATCAAAAAAACCTTTCTTGGGTTGGAAAACACACGAATAGGTAACTCTGCATGTATGAATAGTCGTAAAAATCCTTTATGCATTCAATAAGCAAGATACAAAATGATAGACATATTTTGAATAAATTATAGATGAATGTATTTTGTTTGTTTTGTTTTGAGACAGAGTTTCGTTCTGTCACCAGGCTGAAAGTGCAGTGGCATGATATTGGCTCACTGCAACCATCACCTCCTGGGTCCAAGCGATGCCCCTGCCTCAGCCTCCCGAGTAGCTGGGACTGCAGGCACGTGCCACCACGACTGGCTAATTTTTTTTGTATTTTAGTAGAGATGGGGTTTCACCATGTTTTTAATAATGTAGTTATCTTCTTTTTTAATAGGAAGAGTAAATTTGTGACAAAGTGTCCTCCTATTTATCTTTTACTTGTCTTGATATTATATGTAAGTTGGTTGAAATTTGCTACTTAGTAATGAAATTTTTATGAAATAGAACAATGGCAGATAAATCCTCTGCTTAGGCTATTATATTCCCAACAGGGAGTGCTGATGGTTGGCCCACCTGGCACGGGGAAGACGCTCCTTGCTAAAGCAGTAGCTACAGAATGCAAGACAACATTCTTCAATGTCTCTTCATCAACTCTGACTTCCAAATACAGAGGAGAGTCTGAGAAGCTTGTTCGTCTTCTGTTTGAAATGGTGAATGTTTGAGACAGCTCTATTGATTCCTTACCTCTAAAAGGGGAGAAAGTGAGTTGTAACTATCTCAAGTATATGGAATAAGGCAGGATACCATTTTGCCCAGAGTATAATTCTCGTGTCCTTAAAACTAGTGTTCTTTCCAAACATGAATAATTTGAGTTTCTCTTTGTCTCTTTTCCTCCAGATGTAGGTCCAAATCTACCAGTTTTGGGGCATGTTCACATATGAGATCTGCATTACTGATCTTCTGTAGGAATCGGAAATTATGTTTTTTAAATCAATAGGTTTAGTTATAATATGATAACCACAGTATTGTAACAATTATGCCAGAAGGTGAGAATCGTAAGTTAATTGTGGAACTTAGGTCACCTCCAATGTATTAACTATAGCAAATGCCTTCATTTTCATGACCTAATCTTTGGATTAGGCTCTTTCTTCCACCAATACAAATCAGAGTACCAGTAGAAGAAAGTAATTCTGGTAGAGTGTTAGATTGAATTCCACAGCCTTTTAAACTTCCGACTTTGTTAAGCTTCACTGATTACTTTAGTCTTGCCTCTAAGAAACAGAGTAGTTTGATGTAATTAGGAGTTACGCTATTAGTGACAAAGACATTAATTATTTTTTTTTTTTGAAACGGGTTCTCACTCTTGCATAGGCTAGTATGCAGGAGCATGATCCCAACTCACTGCAACCATGACCTCCAGGCTCAAGTGATCCTCCCGTCTAAGCCTTTCAGGTAGCTGGGATGTTGGACATGAGCCACCACACCCAGTTAATTTTTATTTTTTTTTACAGATGGAGTCTTGCTGTGTTGCCCTGGCTGGTCTTGAACTCCTAGGTTCAAGTGATCCTCTCACTTCAGACTACCAAAATGCTGGATTTATAGGCCTGGGTCACCAAGCCCGGCCAAGACATGAATTCTTCTTTTTTTTTTTTTTTTTTTTGGCAGGTCTCATTCCGTCACCTAGGCTGGAGTGCAGTGGTGCAGTCTCCACTCACAGGAGCCCTCACCTCCTAGCCTCAAGTGATCCTCCCACCTTAGCCTCCTGGGTAGTTGGGACTACAGGTGCTCACTACCATGCCTGGCTAATTTATGTATTTTTAGTAGTGATGAGGTTTTACCATGTTGGCCAGGCTGGTCTTGAACTCCTGATCTCAGGTGATCTGCCCACTTTGGCCTCCCAAAGTGCTGGGATTACAGGTATGAGCCACTGCGCCCCACCTTTTTTGATTTTTATGGAGATGAGGTCTCACTATGAAGTAGTGAGGGGCCGGGCATGGTGGCTCACGCCTACTTTGGGAGGTTGAGGCAGGTGGATCACTTGACGTCAGGAGTTTGAAACCAGCCTGGCCAACATGATGAAACCCCGTCTCTACTAAAAATACAAAAATTAGCCAGGTGTGGTGGCCTATGCCTATAATCCCAGCTACAGCTACTCAGGAGGCTGAGGCAGAAGAATCACTTGAGCCCGGGTGACAGAGGTTGCAGTGAGCCAAGATCGTGCTATTGCACTTCAGCCTGGGAGACAGAGTGAGACTCTTGTCTCAAAAAAAAGAAAGAGGGATGATTTATGATTTGCAAATCAAAAAGACGCTTCTCTTACCAGACGTGTGCTCTGCAGGGAGAGCCAATAGGTGTTCTCTACAGTAGCTTCCCTGGCCAGCTAAAGCCAGGATGCAGAGCCTTTGCTTGAAGTCAGATCATTCTGCATACCCTCAGTATGTGGGAAGAATCAGTCTAGTCATTTTTGCTTGGTGTGGCAACAGATTGAAATTTAATTTTTGTTGATGTAGGTTCTTTGGATAGATGGTTCCTAACTAAAATTTCAGTTGAGAATTTTCTTGGATGTTTTAATGATTAAGTTCACTTTTTTCCTCTCTCCATTTCTTGAAAAAGTAAAAAATATTTATACATAAAAACCTAAGTACTGAGTTTTTTTTTTGTTTTTTGTTTTTTGTTTTTTTTTTGTTTTTGAGATGGAGTTTTGCTCTTGCTGCCCAGGCTGGGGTGCAATGGTGCTATCTTGGTTCACCACAACCTCTGCCACCAGGTTCAAGTGATTCTCCTGCCTCTCAGCCTCCTGAGTAGTTGGGAATTTCAGGAATGCGCTATCATGCCTGGCTAATTTTATATTTTTAATAGAGATGGGGTTTCTCCATGTTGATCAGGTTGGTCTCAAACTCCCGACCCCAAATGATCTGCCCACCTTGGCCTCCCAAAGTGCTGGGATTACAGGCGTGAGCCACTATGCCCAGCCTCCCTCAGCTATTTTCCGATTGCTAACCTATAGATTATTTTAAAATGAAATAATGGCTTGGTGTTGCATGGTTTCTTCCTTTAGGCTCGATTTTATTCTCCAGCCACCATATTTATTGATGAGATAGACTCCATTTGCAGTCGCCGAGGGACTTCTGAAGAACATGAAGCAAGCAGAAGGGTGAAAGCGGAGCTGCTGGTTCAAATGGATGGTATCTATGATGTGTTTAGCATGAGTTGACCTGGGGCGGGAGGTTGTTAGGTGTGGCATCTCCAGCTCCAGTGGGCCAAGCTTTACTCATAGTGCTAATCCAAGGCTTTAAATAGGTATTCATAACTTCAGATGGACTACAGGGGGTGGCAAGGAGTTCCTGAGATTGATAGTAATAGATCTGGTACACTGACAGTGGTGACAAGTCAGAAATAATGGCCACCCACAGGGTATATACAACTTTCTTTTGGTATATACAACTATCTTACTTTAGCAATGAAATTGAAATAGAAAGAAAGCAGATAAATTGGCCTCAGAGTTTACATACGCTTTGATAAAGATTTAAAATTGTTATGTAGTTGAGCTGATCTGGTTTTTTGATTAAATCTATTTTGAGTCATGTTTGCATACTACAGAACTTATTTTCTTTGGATTACAAAATCATGTATGTACCAGTTACCTTTCTGAGTCTTAAAGAGGCTTGAAGACTATGCTGCCTTTTATTGTTGTGCTAACTATTTGATGATCTTTAAATAGCTGAGCTTTATTTGGTATAATCCAACTTAGTATCTTTTTCACTCTCTCCTTACTTTTATTTTAGGTGTTGGAGGTGCTTCTGAAAATGATGACCCCTCCAAAATGGTTATGGTTCTGGCAGCTACTAATTTTCCCTGGGATATAGATGAGGCTTTAAGACGACGTCTTGAGAAACGAATCTATATTCCTTTGCCATCAGGTATCTTCCTTTAGATCTTGTTAGGAAGTCTGTTAACTTTCAAGTAGTTTTGTTTAGAGAATTAAAAATTTGGTATTTACTAACTTTCCAAAAGATACACATGAGGAGTATCTTCTCCTTATAGTACTAGTTTGCCTATATGCCTTAATATTAAATAGTAGAGAATTAAAAAGTAAAGAATGGCTCTTGAATTAAGAAATGATCTCTTTCTAGAGATCCAATTCTTACTGGAAAACAACTCACACAAAAAAAGATTCGAGACAACAGTATACTATGTTTATGCCATAGGCTTAATTTTGAAATTTGTTTCCACCATTAGCAAAAGGCAGGGAGGAGCTATTACGAATAAGTCTGCGTGAGCTGGAATTGGCTGATGATGTTGACCTTGCAAGCATAGCAGAAAACATGGAAGGTTATTCAGGTGCAGACATTACCAACGTGTGCAGGTATGCATTATGGAAGTTACGGGAGCACAGGTTTTTGTAGGCATAAACTAATACGAAGTTTTTTTGGTTTTTGAGCCAGTCTCGCTCTGTTGCCCAGACTGGGGAGTAGAGCCAGAGTCACAGCTCACTACAGCCTGAAACTCCCGGGCTCAAGTGATCCTCTGAGGTGAAGTTCTTGTGCTGAATTTAGATCAATATGCTAGGCTCAATGGCTCACACCTGTGATCTCAGCACCTTGGGAGGCCAAGTGAGAGATCACTTGAGCCCAGGAGTTTGACTGGCCTGGGCAACATCTCCATGAAAAATTTTTAAAAATTAGCTGGGCATGGTGGTGCCCACTTGTGGTTGAACCTAGGAGTTTGAGGCTGCAGTGACCCATGATTGTGCCATCACACCCCAGCCTGGGCGACAGAGCAAGACCCTGTGTCCAAAAAAAAAGATGAATCAAGACCGACATTACAGTGTTCTTTTTCTTTCTTTTTTTGAGATGGACTCTTGCTTTCACCCAGGCTGGAGTGCAGTGGCGCAATCTAAGCTCACTGCAACCTCTGCCTCCTGGGTTCAAGTGATTCCTGTGCCTTAGCCTCACAAGTAGCTGGGATTACAGGCACGTGTCACCATACCACTAATTTTTTTATTTTTAGTGGAGATGGGGTTTCACTGTATTGGCCAGGCTGGTCTTGAACTCCTGACCTCAATCGACCTGCCTCGGCCTCCCAAAGCGCTGGGATTACAATCATGAGCCACTGTGCCCAGCCCCACATTACATTTTGTAGTCAGTCACAAATTCTGGTTTTGTTGGTGTTAGCAGGTGCTGGTAAGATATTTGGGCATCTTTCATGTTAGTGAAGAGTCTACAGTTCATTTGAAAGCTAAAAGTTCAAGAAGCTAATGTTAGGATAATTTGTGCAAAATGGAAAATCAGTAATTGTCTTGGATTAAAAAAATTATTGGTGCCTTTGTTCACTATAATTAAAATAGGAAATGATCATGAAATATGTTGACTTGGTATATGCTGAGTACAGTCTCATTCTCAGTGAACTTAATTCTAAATGTGAATAGGAATAGCAGTAAAAAGAAAAAAAGACTTGTCTTTAATCCAGCTGGTTCAAGCAAGTTTTGTCCTAATCTAAGCGTTATCGGAGATAATTAACCAGAGGCTTGACTGTGCTCATTTCCTCATCTCTAAAGTGAGCACACCACAGAGTTCTGAGGATTAAAACTAACCTGTATACATCAAGCAGCTATATTGCTGTCCCTTTGCATAAATGGTGGCTGCTACTAAGGATGAAACTTGGTAAAAGGAAAGAGGTATTTGAATATGTGTGTGTGTGTGTGTGTGTGTGTGTGTGTGTGTGTGTGTGTTTTAAAGCACAAATAGAGGAGAAAAGGAGAAAACACTGAATTTACCTAGCTTTTCCTCTACATGGAGAAAATATTTAATTTTCTTGTCAATTGGTTCTCTTCTGACTCTGTGATAACGAATTCATTTTATTGAATACTTATAATGAAACTAATTGCTCGCTCCTTTAACACCCCTTTTACTTTTTCTGGGGTTTTATATTCAGTATTAAATTGATTAGCATTCTGTTTCATCACAGAAGATTTAACTGCTTAAAAAAAAACAAGCTTTGGATTCCAACAAGCTTCTATGCAATACTAAATATATGTGTGTAATATAATTAGAGAATGCTATAACAGATCCACTGAAAATTTTTCTATTAACAAGTTTTCATTTAACCAAAGTAACACTTTGTGTGTTGTTTTTGTTGTTGTTGTTTTTAACTTAAAACCTAGGGATGCGTCCTTGATGGCAATGAGAAGGCGCATTGAAGGTTTGACTCCAGAGGAAATCCGAAATCTTTCCAAAGAAGAAATGCACATGCCTACAACCATGGAAGATTTCGAAATGGCTTTAAAAAAGGTTTCTAAGTCAGTGTCTGCTGCAGACATTGAGAGATACGAGAAGTGGATATTCGAGTTTGGATCATGCTAAATTCTCACATGTAAACTGTGAGAAATGTGCCTTATGTGTTTGAATAGTAATTAAATGTAGTAATTCATTGCACTGAGTGCTATATTTTTTTAAACTTGCATAATAGTAAGATTTTTTTAAACCCTTATGATTCTGAATAAAGGCAATATTTTTAAGCTGAAAATCTGTTTTACTTTAGCATTACCAGATTTCTATTTCACTGACCACAAATGTTACTTAGCTTGGAAAGCTGTCTTTTCTTTTTTTCCTTGCTTTTTCTATTTTTTTTCAAGACTGTTTCCTCCAACTTAATTGGCTGTTCACATTGGGATTAGCCAACGGACCATAAGAAAGACATCAATCTTGGCTCTTACTTGAAACCAACAGCTCCAATGGCAAACCACCACCTGTCTTGATTCAGGGCCTAGGAAAGCTGTCTTTATATGCACTTCTAATTTAGCATCTTCTCTCCCTTGCTGCTCTTACTCCTTCTAGGGAGAGTAAGATTGGCTGTATCTCCAGTTAACTTTACCCACTGCCTCTAGGTGCCAATGGATAACTGAAAATCCCTCAACATTTTTACACAAGTAGCTAATTAAAACATGCGCCAGGCCCAATATATCTTCCTTCTCACTTAGTGTTATGGTAGCTTCCCTTCTCTTCCTGGGAGAGTTTTAAAGACACATTTTACTTTGCATTTTAAAAAGAAAAAAAAAAAATCTTACCTGACTTGTATTTTGTCTACATAAGAGGCTGCACTACAGGCAAACAGGCATTTCTAAACCTCTAATCAAACTCATTAACTCATGCATACTAAACATAGCTACAGTGATAGTTAATGGTTTAAGTTAGTAAGTGAAATAAAATTTAATGGTATAAAATTTTAGGTAAGATTTCCATGTGTGACTACTTAGAAGAAAATAACTTACTATGTTATCCCAGCCATAGAAAACAGCTTCAGGAGACTGCAGACCTTGCTATGGTCCCAAGTCTTACTAAGAAAGATCCCAGGATAGGGATCTGCTAACTGCAAAGCCTCCTATTTTCTTCTTCACTAAAATCTGTAAGCTTATGGTTACTAGATAAAATAAGATTGTGTTATCGTTTGGAGTTAGAACTGGTGCTAATAACTTAGGGAAAGAAAAAGGGTGTAAAGAAAAAGTGTTACTAGCTGGTAACTCTAGGATCAAATTATAAGTTGCAGGATATTTTTTTCAGCAATATGAGGGTAGGAATAATTAAAGTCTGGTAAAATGAAACATCACTGCTTCATTCTACTATTTGTCATCCTCTCCACCCCTACCACACACATATCTGTTTGGCCTAAATATAAAGTGGTCTGAAGAAAACAATCATGGCTGGGTGCGACGGCTCATGCCTATAATCCCAACACTTTGGGAGACCTAGGTGGATGGATCACCTGAGGTCAGGAGTTCCGAGACCAGCCTGGCCAACACGGTGAAACCCTGTCTCTACTAAAAATACATAAATCAGCTGGGCATGGTGGTGGGTGGCTGTCATCCAGGCTTCTCAGGAGGCTGGGGCAGGAGAATTCCTCGAACATGGGAGGTGGAGGATGCAGTGAGCTGACATCATGCCATTGCACTCCAGCCTGGGCAGCGAGAAAAACTCTGTCTCAAAAACAAAAAATAAAAACCGTTACTTTCTTGGACAATGTTTTCAAAATGATGGGCTGCAGTAAAAAAATTTTTTAAATGAAACAACAAAGTATCACATACTGTATGTATTAGGTCACATTGTAAAATATTAATATGTCAATATGAGTGAGGGTTAAAAAAGCTAATAAAACACTTGTAGGGTAAACAGCACTATATCTAGAATCGCAAGAACAAGGGCACAGTCTAATTCATGGTATCAATGGACTCATTTGATCTGAACCATGGTTTCAGCCAGTGTAAATGAAAGTAAACCTATTCCTGCATCTCGGCCATTCTTACCTGGGTAAAGGTTTTATATCAGTGTAACCAAAACGGCTATACTTTTTTCCTCAAAAAAAGTTTATTTTAGAGTGAGAACATGTCATACTACTTTTAAATCTTGGAGCATTCAAGGTAAGTAGTCTTGGTACAGGATACAGTCAAATCATGATATGCTTCAGTGATTTTATACTGAGTCAAACAATATAAAGGCACATTGTACTGAATAAAAAAATAAGTGTTAAGTTCTTGAGCTTTTAAATTAGAATTTTATAAAGTGCTTTTCATAAAGTCTTATATATTATAGTAATTAAGTGGATATAATTTCCTTAACAAAGGCACCTTGAAAAGTCCCTGGCACAAGAGATTTTGTCTGGCCTTTTTTTCCTTTTGGTAATTTCAAAGTCTCTTCACATGTCTTATCTTCCACTTTAAGTTTTTCTTCACAATGCATCATATGACTAGCCAGCCCTTTTAGAGAATAAGGTAAACTTTTTTTTTTTTTTTTTTTTCTGAGACAGAGTCTTGCTCTGTCACCTTGGCTAGAGTGCAATGGTGCAATCTCAGCTCACTGCAGCCTCAGCCTCCTGGGTTCAAGCAATTCTGCCTCAGCCTCCCAAGTAGCTGGGGCTACAGGCACGAACTACCATGCCTGGCTAATTTTTGTATTTAGTAGAGATGGGGTTTCACCATGTTGGCCAGGGTGGTCTTGATCTCCCGACCTCGTGATCTGCCCGCCTTGGCCTCCCAAAAGTGCTGGGATTACAGGTGTGAGCCACTGCGCCTGGTCGAGAATAAGGTAAACTTTAACTTGGCACTGTAAAGGTCAATTTTCAGGCAGTCTTAGAAGTTTAGCAATTTCTCTAGTGTATAAACTGATTCTTAACAATTTAAAGAAAATTATATTTGAGTGGCAAATTTGGAGGCAATAGACTAATTCAGAGTCCATGATATGAGATGGAATTTTAAATAGATGTTTTATCTTCAAGGTTTTCAGCTGTTTTCTCAAGACCATCTGGATATAAGTTGACAGCCGTCACAGGTATGACATTCACTTTATCCAACTGGAGAATTCCTCTGAAATAGAAAGTGATTAATTACTATCAAAATTAAATGTTTCTTCTGCCTGTAGTTTGTTAGTGAGATAAGGCTACTTCAAAGTTATAATACATACCTAAAGTTAGGTGCTTTTGCTACATTCTATTTAAAAATTCATAGTGGTTGTACAAACTATGAGCCCAAAGTCACTTTAACCGAACTAGCTGAGAGAATAGAAAGGCATCAAGGAAGTTCATTACTTCCTATTTTAGGGAAGAATAGGGTAAGTATAGATCTTCAAGGTAGAGTGAGGTTCCTAGATACACATAGGCTGAGCAAAAAGACTAAGCCTAAGAACCTTTCTAAACAATACGCATCACCAGAATACAATCTTAGGTCTTTTTTTTTTCTTTCTTTTTTTTTTTTTTAAAGTAAAGATGGGGTTTCACCATGATGGCCAGGCTGGTCTTGAACTCCTGACCTCAGGTGATCCACCCACCTCAGCCTCCCAAAGTGCTAGAATTACAGGTGTGAGCCACCGTGCCCAGCCAACCTTAGGTCTTTAGATAGTGTTTCTCTTTTTGTCACTTAAAATCCCTGACCAGAGAGTACATCTTTGGATTCAATTTAGGACCCTATATTGTAAATTTGGTGTTATTCTAAGAACATCAACAGAGGTTAGTTGTTTGTTTATAGAACCAAACAGGTTCTAAAGTTCCCAGGAAAGTAACTGCAAGAATAGCCATATATTTTTTTCAAAAAGAACAAGGGGGAGAAGAGAAAGTTGCCTTAACTAGCTCTCAAAGGTTTTATTAAAACATGACAGTAGGCCAGGTGTGGGGGCTCACGCCTGTAATCTTAGCACTTTGGGAGGCCAAGGCAGGCAGATCGCTTGAGCCTAGTAGTTTGAGACCAGCCTGGGCAAAGTGGCAAAATCCCATCTTTACTAAAAATAGAAAAAATTGGCTGGGTGTGGTGGTGCGCACCTGCAGTCCCAGCTATTCGGGAGGCTGAATCGCAAGGATCGCTTGAACCTGGGAGGTGGAGGTTGCAGTGAGCCAAGATCATGCCACTGCACTGCAGCCTGGGTGACAAAGTGATACCCTGGTCTCAAAAACAAAAACAAAACATGATAGTAATTAAAACTGTTCTGCTGACACAGGAATAGACAAATAGATCACTGGGACAGGAAAAAAGTCCCCAAAGACTAGTGTATATGGAAATTTAGTTTATAATAAGGTAACATTCTATGTCAATGAGAAATTACTAATGGAAAAATGGCCTCTGCTGGAAAACAAAATGAGAACTCTAGAGTAAAAAGTATACACAAAAGTAATGCTAAAAAATAAATTTTGGCCAAGCACATTGGCTCACGCCTGTAATCCCAGCACTTTGGGAGGCTGAGGTGGGCGAATTGCCTGAGGTCAGGAGTTTGAGACAGGCCTGGCCAACATGGTGAAACCCTGGCTCTACCAAAAATACAAAAATTAGCTGCCTGTGGTGATGCACGCCTGTAGCTCCAGCTACTTGGGAGGCTGAGGCAGGAGAATCAATTGAACCCAGGAGGCAGAGACTGCAGTGAGCAGAGATTCCACCACTGCACTCAGCCTGGGCAACAGAGCGAGACACCATCTCAAAAATAAATAAATTTTAAGAAAATATGATGCTGGGCACAGTGGCTCATGCCCTTAGAAATTCCAGCACCTTTGAAGGCCAAGGCAGGAAGACTGCTTGGGCCTAAGGAGTCCAGCCTGGGCAACATAGTGAGATCCTGTCTCTACACACACAAAAATTTTTTTAAAAAAATGTCTGGGGACAGAAGCTTAGGCCAGGCACAGTGGCTCTCGAACTCCTGACCTCAAGTGACCCACCCCCCTCTTTGGCTTCCCAAAGTTCTGGGACCGCACTTTGGGAAGCCAAGGTGGGGGGGGTGGGGGTGGATCACTTGAGGTCAGGAGTTCGAGACCACCCTGGCCAACCTGGTAAAATGTATCTCTACTAAAAATACAAAAATTGGCCAGGCATGGTGGCAGGTACCTGTAGTCTCAGCTACCCAGGAGGCTGAGGCATAAGAATTGCTTGAACATAGGAGGTATACTTTTACTAGAGATGGGGTTTCACCATTGTTGGCCAGGATGGTCTTGATCTCTTGACCTTATGATCTGCTCGCCTCGGCCTCCCAAAGTGCTGGGATTACAGGCGTGAGCCA